TTTAAAACTTAGGATTGAAATAAAATTTGATTAGTTGATTTCATACGTTTGTTTAATTGTGCTTCTTTTGTTTCGTCATGTTAATTTCACTTCTACGAAAGGAATGACACTTCGATTTGTGTAAAATAGGGTTAAGCTTTATAAAAGACTAAGTAATAGGAAGAGATTCGTTTGTAATGGAATCTGAAATTAGTTTTGCCTAATAATCATGTCAGTAATACGAAAGTGGTAGAAAATACAGTGTGTGCAATAGATGCAGTTCTGGTGATAAGTATGAACTATTTTCATATCGTAAGCATTTCATTACTAGTGATATTATTTCATTTTTGACAGATTTTTTACTAGTTAAAATTGTTGTAATTGCTAATAAGAATTCCAAATATATATTTGCTTTAAACCTGATGCTTATGTACCAAATGTTTATACTTTTCACGTTTTCTTTTGTAAACTGTTTGCTTCGCATCAAAACGATGAATAATCCTCTTTAGTGGCTTTAAACGTTTATTTATTTCAGTATACACGAACAACTAATAATGGTTTAGTGAGCAATCAGTCAACGCCTAACGACAATCCATTTCTGCGGGTACGCTATTATAATTCACTCGATAGAATAGCGATGAACAACAGTTCGTCAAAGTTGTAGAAAAAACATGGCTTCATTCGGTGGTAGAGAGGTAATCCTTCGGACACCCCCTTCTACTCCACAAAACATCAGCAGTCTTACTAATTTTTTTACTAAATAATGATATTACGTAACTTTATTCATATAATAACGAAGCATATAGTCTATGGATGGTATTTAAATCAAAATCCTCATATTTATTAACTGTAATATTTCAATAACTGATAGTGTAGTGCTGACAGAATGTTTGATCGTTCTTCGAAACCATGATACATCCATGGACTGATCATGGCAACTGTGGTGGTATCGTTGGTGTTTCGAAGCCTGATAGGATATGAAAAATCTGTTCCAAAATCCAACAGTAAAAACTTATCCTAAATCCCATATTAGCAGTTATGACGCGGAACTAAAATTAACCAAGCAATGGTGCCTTCTACTGCAATCCCACAGTTTGTGGAAAAAAATTATGGAAGAAAATTGTTATATTCGTGCGCTTGCATGCAAACTGTAGGCCATCATTTTGAAATTTAGTGAAATGATAAATACTCTGAAGCACTGAATTGATAATTTCTCTCTCTAAACAATATTCCAGTTCTAAATTTCAATCCCAATAGCATTCACCAAATATATTTGTGAATGTACCTCCTTAATCCTAAAAATTTTTTTTTCCAAAATTGACAACAGCTCAAGCTGATGGATAATATCAGGTATTTTAGATGCAAATAATCGGTAGCATTTTGTAGCAGTCTGCTTAGAATTGTTGGAAAATATGTGGGAAAACCGAAAATTTTTTTTTCAGCCATTGGAAAGTAATGCAGCATCTGGTGAAAGTAAATAATTGAAAGATATCCCGAAAGAGGTGACAGTTATTGATTGATGTTCTTGTTTCCTGCTGCAGCCTCACCTTCCTTTTTGTGTTTCTTTCTGTACTCATGTGCTTTTATTTTCGTCACTGAATAGAACTCAATAAGGATAAACTGAGAATGTTTTGATTCAATTATGATACAGTTAAAGGCATGAGCACATTAATAAATAGAGGCGATTTAAGATAAAGATCACCAAGAGAGACCCGGAGGTTCAATAGACTAGTCAAAGAATTGAGATTTTTTAAATTTTCCAATCTGTTGCCTGTGCATTATATTACTTGCTGTCTGCTTTTGTATTTCTTCTTTTCTGCAGTTGCAGTTGCATGTACCCAGCGATCATTTACTTTTGATTATTCCATTGTATAAAAACACCAGTGTAATCAATGATTGCGATTAATGAAGCAGAACAGTATTATAATCCGTATAAATCATTTCCTGCTAATTGATTTACAACATATCACAGTTCCAAAAAACTTTCAAGTCTTAATCTGTTGCCGAGTCCTAGTGTTTGTTTAGTTATTGTAAACTTTTTTACAATCATGGTCTTCTCCAATTTTGGAAAAGTCCACGTCCTTTACGTAATTTTCCATCCATAAACCATAACTCTATTGTTTCCTGCTGTTCTTTACACTCACAATATTTCTCTCGCTTATTTTCTTCAGTGGCAATAATTTCCCGACATTTGATTTTGACGATTTTTGTAATATATATACGCAGTCACAAATACGGATTGATCTTCTAAGCTCCGCTTTATCGGGTACCTAGTCAGTCAGTAATTATTGTTTGTTTCTGCTTTCATTATGTTTTTTCGTACAAGCTGTAAACTTATTTTGTTGCTTGGAAAAATCGCTGATCTATCAAATATAATGAGAAAGGCATTATCTGTGTAACATATAATGTAATAAAACTTCGTAAACGACATCTGCTTGCAGAAAGACACTACTAAAAAAAATTAAAAAAGTGCAGATTCGAAGAACATTTTGGTTTACGGATTTTTGGAATTTCATATACACTAGTCTAGTCTAATCGATTCTAATTGTACTGTTTCTAGCATCTTTAGAACAATCAAAGAATCCAGAAGAAAAAGGTTGACTTATTCATTTTTCATTTGTTGCTCTTGTTTTTCCAATTCACTTGCTCGACGTCTCAAACGTTCAGCTGCCTCTTTATGTTCACGGGCATGACTTTCATGTTTTTCTATTTCACGTTCCATTTCTTTACGCAAATTTTTATACTGCATTTGCAACGCTTTTAACTGCTCTTTTTCCTGTGAAAAGTTGAATTCTCTTATTCAATAATACTTAATTTGGACATGTACCATGCAATTAATTTAGATTGATTAATCAATTTAGACATGCAGACACTCTCACCCATTTTTGCCCCATTCCGAAATATGTGATCAAGAGCTGTAGACATGTAAAATGCGTTCTGGAAATATTCACGTGTACTTAAAGCAGTTTTACGCCTGCTATTTACGAGATGGGTTGGATGCAGAATCAGCGATTAAAAGGCTTTCAAAACAATGCACAATGTTGGAGCTAGTGTGGGAAAGTGAACACTACATGCTTGAAGAAAATAAAATAAAACATCTTTACCAGTTTTCTGAAATATTGCTCTTCGCGCGCTGCCTGTTGTTTTCCGAAAGCGCCGCCAGCATCACGTATCGATCCACCTGCACCACCACCCTGAATAGAAGTAAGCTAAAAAGTTTTTGAAAATAAATGTTAAAAATCACTAAATCCTTCTTTCCTTTCACCTGTCTAATATAATCAACATCAAAAATGAATCAAAAAAATAGCCATAAAGAAATTTTTTCAAAAGCCTCCAACTGTTAGATGTTTATCCAAACAAATCAACATTTTTGTTCTGATAAAATTCCCATCTCTCCTTTTCCTTGTTTTTGTTCAGTAGCGTAATAAAACGGTTACTGTTCTCGTTTAAGAGAGTAATAAAACGGTTGAAATGTTCAGTTAGGAATATCGTTTGCAGGAAAGCGATTCTTATATAAAAGTTATGCAAAATGAAATCTGTACTAGTCGTTAAACAATTGAGACGAAAATATAACAGACCTTTCCACTGCCGCTTCCGGGATCACCCACTTGACTGAAACCTCGTTTTATGGACCTGCAAGGAAAACATTACAAATCGTAATTGATAGTGAAGATAAAGTCATTTTAATGAGATAATAAATAAATTTGGGATAAGATAAAACGATTGATATGAAATTATCCAGTTTATAACAGCCTTTTCCTAACTGACATATTAAGTGTGCTAGTATTTATACGATCTAGCTGGCATATTCAATGGTAATTTCGAAGTTACCAAAGCAAAAAATGATCTTGAAAACATTAAAAAATTCAAAACACAGTTATACTCTTGTACGGTAATAAATTATAAATAGTATAAGAAGAGACTATCAGCAACACAAACCTTTTGTAAGGGAAAGTCTAACATGTGTCACATTTTTATAAAGCAGAGAGAGAGAAAATCAAACTGTCACTTGAAGGGCAGTTGTTACTTGCCTTTAATTAATTTTTAAATAATGAAAGAATTTGGTTGAAAAATCACCGAGAAAGACCAACGGCAAGTCGCGATGAATATGTGAGTGTCATTGTTTTCGCCTGAAATTAAAAGGAACTCGCTAAGTTCTTAATTACTAGCATAAATGATGAAAAATAAAAGAACTAATCAACTTGAAGAACTTCGAATGAAATTATCCTATTAAACTATTATAAAACCCTCTAAGGAGCATTGCTTGGTAATATCACTCAATTAGGGAAAAACTCAACTCATTGACACTAAAGGAAACTTGAGAGGAAGGAAATCCTAGAACAATCAGAGCTATTGGAAACGCACTTAAATGAGATCGTAATTTTCAATTCGTCACAATATGAGGATCTGTTAAAGTGGATGTGGGTAGATCAGTGATTAGATAACTGGGGCGGTACTGTCGCGGTTGTCGCCGGGTAGAGTGGTGTTGTCTTGACTGTTGTTTCAGATGGAATGGTCCTATACCTAAACATACCGAGTGCATATTTCAGTGGTCCAGAAATTCTTGGTAACCAAGAAAACTTAATTTAACATTAGTCTTCTTACTTCCTTACTTTTTCGTCTTCTGTAACGGTGGAAAAAGTCTTAATTCGGAAAAATATGAAATGGTACAACACAAAACAAAATACACAATATGACGCAAGATATGATGCTCTAACTTGCAACAATTTCTAACGGAGGGCATTCACCATTTTGTTTCGCTTGAAACTTCATTTAATCATCATCAAAGATACAAGTGGAAGTCATCCGAAATCATAAATATTTTTCCTGTTATTCATTCTAAACTTAATCGATGTGAAATGATGACCACTGTTTTAGTTTGTTTTTCGAAGCATTCCAAATAGAAACCAATCGTATGGAACTAATGTTCGACCGATTGTAGTAAATATTCGACCGTTTGTTAGCAAATATTCGGCTTGTTGTTAATTATTCATCGAAGTGTGTAAAGTGACATTGAGCTAAGTGGACTTTATTATTATCTTAATATTTTCAGAAATATATAATATATCTTGTAATGTTAGCTCGATCATCACTTTCTACTCCTTTCATTGCTTGGGCGCCAGTGACAAGAATGAAGTTAAACTCATCGTTTTTTTCTTCATTCTTTATGCTCTTTCCTTTGTTATCTTTTGAATTTCACTATTCTTCTTCATTAGAAATACAACAGATGAAGAGGATTTGTGAGGGAATGTTAAAAATGAGTCATGGAGTCTGTAACAAATTCGTTGAATGTTCATAACTTCACAAGTAAATATTTCATTGTTAACGAAAGCTTGAACTAAAGTTGTGGCATCTATCCAAAGAATGTAGTTATTTTGATGAAAAAACATTTCAAAATATTATTTTTATGAGAATATTTTAAATAAGTAAAAGCTATACCCCGTCAGACATTTAAAATAGTTTAAGGGTCTTCGAACATTTAAGACGGTTTCCATTCAGTCGATAAGTTAGTTAAATCAAACGGTTGAATTTGTTTATTAACTTAGTCAAATCAAACGGCTAGATTTGATTAGCGGAACTCGGAATACTTCCCATGGCAGACACGAGATAGAAGCAGAAATAAACTTGAATTGTTGAAAAGTTATAAAAGCGGTTCAAATTCAGATGACATTCTTGTGACTATGTTATTTTTTAAGCAACAAGTGGATTATCATATAAAGTTGAACCATTGAATTGCAAGTCTCACCTATACCGCTTACAGCATTAAACGTGTAGAAATCATTAATCATTCCGGCTCGGTATCGCACATCATGTAGAAAAGATGTTAAAACAATACGATGCATTATGGTTTATTGTATTTGTTAATGATTTGCTTATTACTTTAAATATTTCATATAAATGACTTTGGGATACAAAACCGAAGAGTGCAAACAAATACATATATGTCATCTTTATGAGGGAATGCACACAGTAACTGGCCCTTTTAATTAGTTAGCTCATCTTCGTTAAAAATTTACGATACCTGTTACTATATCATTTTAGGATATTTGGATTCATTATCTCTTGACTTTGGTTGGTCTATGTGGGCACCAAGTATTAATCTGAAAGTTTAAAATATGAGCAAAGTTTGATCTTTATACTTATGGAATAGACAATATTTGAACAGAGAATCAACTTCAAGTAACAAACAAAGATTTGTAAATGTTTTTTTTTGGGCAATTTACATAGGTAATCTAAATTTTCAGAAAATTTAAGCTATCGAAAGAGCGGTGATAGTGGGAGATTAACTGCTAACAAATATCACTTTGCTTATGTTGATCTTATTTTAAGAATTTATAATAGTGATCCATTAATTTTAAATGAAGATCAGATTTCTAGAAAATTTATTAATAGGTAATTCGCTAAAGCAGGCTAAAATATAATTCTGGTTTATAGTTTATGTGTAGCAAGTGACAACACTTAATTTTTGAAATACAACATTTCTTCGCGAAATGTCGCAAATGGCGTTTTACAGTTCATCCTTACCATATTGTAAGCTGGACTTTTTTCGCTATCTAAAAAATTTAACCATTTGAAATTTGTGCATGTCTGAAAACTATCTTAAGTTAATAGAATGGTATTTAGAGAGAATCAAATTTTGTTCACCTTTATCACTTCTAGTATTATTCTAATTTATATTTCCAACTTTCCGCCTATACTAAAATTTATTGGAATTCTGTCCATAATCATTATAAAGTGATTATTAGATTTTGAATATGCAGTGATCAATAATGCTGTATGTTTCAGTGATGACATAACAGAGTAATGTTACGCGGTGATATTAAAATGAAGTATGAAGAAATTCATTATCTGTCCCGCATGACACGGATAATGACAACGCAGCAGCATACATAACTGAGCGTTTTGTTTGATATTCAATCATTTGCATCATTATAATATAATTGTCGTAGTCTTGAAGTAAAGTAATATTCTGCAAAATTTCTGCACACTTTTGCTTACTTGTAAAATGATTGCCGGTATTTCGCATATTGTTCATACATTGTCAAGCAATTATCAAGTTATTATTATTTTCAAGTGACACTTTTAATTATTCATAAAGAAGTATTTTAAAATATAATCCATTTAACAATCGATAATTGAAAATGATGGATAGATAAACAATTGGATTATTTAATAATGATTTGCAGATATCTAGAAATTATCATACCGGGTGCTCAAACTGTCCGAAAAGCAATAGATAATGTAAATCAACAGAATAACCACAGATTGAGGAAATGGAACTCATCCATTATTCAAATTATTTAAATAATTATTTAAATAATGAAGTTTCTGGAAATCATCGAGAAATGTAAAATTTTTATTATACAAAACTTCTTTGATGGTAGTATGCAAATTTAAGACGCAAAATTCTTTCATTCTAAATTTCAAATGGTGGAGGAACTAAATCATCTATAGTCTGTTTCAAAATTATTGGAAATTTACTTTGAAAAGCGGTTGGTTAGTTTTTTTAATCATTGGAATGGTAAGTTACTCAATGGAATGATAACCTATGAATTTATGTTCACTTAAAATTCCCTAGCTTTAAAGCTTAATCAAAATCTTTTATTTAATTAAATTCTCATTAAGTGCGGACTGTTTATATTGATGCTCCTTCTACCAGCATTGTTCAGTTTATTTGCTTTTGGAACAACTATCTTACTTGCCCATCGGATATGGATCAGAGAGCGACCGCTCATGAAAAAAGCCCAGGATTCTGCTTTTAAACTTTATGATCAGGTTTTGAATTTTTTTCCGGAATTCTGTTTGTTATTCACGTGATTTTGACGGTAAAAATAAACTTACGAAATTTTTCCTAATTTTAACAATAATTAATTTAAAAAAGTATGAATTTTCAATCAAAGCTATGAATTACATTTGTATAATTTGCACAATAAATAAAATTGCAAGGAAAATGCAATAAAAATTAATAAAATAAGCATTTGGTCCTGAATTGAAAGTTATCATTCATTTATAGTAGAAATAATATATAATCAGTTTTTCACTTGATTAGCATCAAACGCTTGTTAATATAATTGCTGGTTTTCAATAATGTTAGGATTAGTTATTCATATAGTTAACATGAATAGAGACGTGGAAAATTCAGGTTTGCGGGATCAATTCATAAGCAATCTTAAATTCATATCACTTCATATTTTATAACTTTTTTGGCAAATCAGTTTTTTGAGCAAATATGCTTTTTATCAGTTCCAAAATTTTTTGTAAAAAATTTAAGAAATTTTTTAGTATCTGAATGTGATACATTTTTTTCAGATATTTCAATCGTTAGTCCCAAAAGGGCTTAATGATAAATTCTTAAAAGTGGAAGAATCAAAATCGAAAGATGCGTGAAATTAAAAGTGTCCTTAATGCATTGTTATTCAAATTCACTTATTCACAAATATTCAAAAACTGGCGATTATGTCGCTTACAAGCTCATCTCAATATAATAATTTGATTAAATTCAATTAAATTTTTCACTTATAATTTTCATTTAAATATTGTAGAATTCTTTCGGAATATTCCGGAGATATTCAAAAGTTAAGATATAAATCAAATAAAACATAAATGCAAAATTCTTCTCGTTTGAAATCCCAAGAAAATTATTATTTATTAATTTTATAGAGATATGCATTTTTTTTAAATCTTTTATACTTAAAGAATTATTTATAATATCGCTCCTGCAAAGCTGGTTAATTTTGTAGAAAAGTTTAGTAGTTAGCTTTTCAAAATTTGCTCTCCTGTACATTGCAGGTAAAATCAGACGTATGATGGATTGAGGTAAGCCATAGGCCTGTAAAATATGGATTATGTGTATTGTTGAAAGCTAAGCTATATAAGAAAAATATCCATGACTATTGGAATTGTGCCAGTAGATGAAGGACTTGGTAATAAAATTCATCAAATGATGAGAAATTTTAGGTTCACACAATTTTGAATTAATATCGGATTTAAAACAAACTTCGGATTCTTAATATTATACTATCATTGAAAATATATTGTAAAAATCGAGAAAAGAACTTAAAATTCTTTTGGATCTCTCATTTGCAGAAAATTCGTTAAGAATCTTTTCATTGATATATATATATATATATATCAATGAAAATTCTTAATATTATACTATCATATTATACTATCATTGATAATATATATATTTGTAATATGCTCTTTATATTTTTCTGGTCAAAGGAATCAATTTTTATGAGATTCGAGATAGAAGACGAAGGGTTAGAGAAATGAGATTGGATAGAGGTCAAGCGAATGAAAAAGAAATGGAAAATTTGACCCTCACTAGTTTAGTAACCATCAGAACAAAAACTGCTGCAAATGTTGCTCCATTTTTTTCTTTTTTTCTTTTCCGGATCCCATTTATCTTTTTCAAATACCGTCTCATTATCCAACTGTCCACTAGACAGATCAAAGAACCTTCTGTCTCTTATCTTCACAATGGATGGAGACGAAGAGCAGAATCGCGTTGTTTTGACCACTGGTCACCGCGTGACCTCGAGATCAACTTCCCCTCCGCCCAGTGCTCGATTGACATTGTGTACTAAGTCAGCTCACTCAACATTCTTCCTTTCCCTTAGCCTGTTGGTCATTACTCATTTCGGCAAGAAATAGAATGGCCGTTACTTTACCACAAACATCCTCACCAAAAACTAAATATCGCAGTTAAAAAAATGGATCTCTCGTCCAGGAATAAGAGAAGTCGGTTGATGGTACTTCAGGATGTGCATCGTGGTCGATGTAGTGAAAATATTCTCATCACCGGGTGCACATTCGGCCATGCCATCTCCCTTAAATGCTTAACTCAGTTTTCCCGAAAAATCCCAGTGGCTCTAATCTTATCATGAACTCCTAATTTTATCGAACGTACTATTAAACGGTGTTGGCTCAGTCTTACTATCGAATCAAACATAGAGAAAAACATAAAAAGGTCTGCATCGCATAGCAAATGCTTTTTACGTGTCCAGTACAAGTGATCAAAAAGTACAATGAAGGTGATTAATTGATAAGTTAGTAACATTTTGTGTCCTAAAATTCCTTAATTTTTACTACTCGCAAAATCTCGAAGAAATGAATTGTTGAAAAATATAATCGACAAGCTAATCAGAATAATCATTGGAAATGAAAGCTATCATCTTAACATTGTTCATCCGTCAAACTTTGTTGAAAATTATGATTTATAATATCAGTAAGAGAAGCCTATATGGTTATTTCGCAAAGTGCATCTTCCAATTGTAATGCTACTGCACCCGAATGTGATCGATAATGAAAGATCTACTGAGAAATCATGACCTTTGTATGTTTTATGTTTTACAATGAAATTCGTGACTTTTCTGTAAGCTTCATAGAATTCTTAAACATAAATTCTGTAAGCTTCATAGAATTTTTAAACATAAATTCATTGTATATTTCAAGAAATTTAAAAATTCTGTTATATTAGATTTGATTATTTCAAGCTATTTCTTACTGAGTAATTTTCCTATATATTTACTTATACACTTATCGGTTGTTGATTTATTGTATCGAGAATAGTATTCGAAGAATGATTACAACTTGCAAAATAACTTTATGTGATTTCATTCATTTCTTATTTTTTATCATACAATGTATTTATTAATCAGGTTGGACAATTATTTCAGTGACTTGAAATTTATGCAACCGAAATTCAAAAATACAATCTTTGTCTTTTATCGAACTTTTTATAAATGGTTGGAATTTGGAAGGATTAGGATCTGTACTGAAACAGTTAAATGCCTTATTATAAATATTCATTCAAAATGCAATAGCAATTTGTACCAAAGAATTTATTGTTGTAATATTCAAATTAGTAAAAATAGCTCAGATAATTGAGAATTTTATCGCAAGAACTTTTTTTATTCGTTCCTTCCAACGAATTAGAATTTAACAGAAATTTTCAAAAGCATTGATAGTTTTCAATGTCTTAGACGAAATTTTGATTATTTTATCAATAAAGACTTATGCATATTGTGTATGTATATATTTGTTTAGTTACCTGTATACTTAATTATTAAAACCATATTTAACTTTAAGGAATTTCATCTAGTTATCTGTGTTATTGCATGAATACTTGGCACGAAATAAAATTATGATTTATGATGAAAATTAATTTCAGCCAATTAATGATATAAAGTGAAATATTTGTCAGAAAATCAAATTTTAAACAGTATTTGAAACTTGTTGAGTTAAATGAAATGAACACATTTTAATGTGTTCATTTCATTTAATTACCTGATAAAATTATAATTTTATGTTAGAAAATTTGGGCTAATAGTCTCAATCATTCAATGTTACAACAAACCTATAGAAATGTCGTATTATCGTTATATCCACACTGCAGTTACTGCACAATTTATGGCTGTCTATTTTTAAATTATACTATCATTGAAAAGTATGTTGTAAAGATCTGAGAAAAGAACTTAAAATCCTTTTCAAATGTTTCATTAGCTAGAAAATTCATTATGAATCTTTCCACAAGTATACTCTCTTGCAAATTATATTTTCTAGTCAAAGGGATCAATTTTTATGAGATTTGAGATAGAAGGCAAGAATGAAGAGTTAGGGAAATGAGATTGGATAAAGGTCAAGCAAAGGAAAGAGAGGAAATGGAGAGTTTGACCCTCACTAATTTGGTGACCTTCACAACAAAAACTGCTACAAATGTTGCTCCACTTTTTTCTTTTCTTCTTTTCCGGACCCCAATGGTCTCTTTCAATCACCGTTTACCTCTCGTCATCCAACTGTCCACTAGACAAATCAAAGAACGGTTAGAGTATAACCTTCTGTCCCTTATCTTCACAATGGATGGAGAGGAAAAGAGCAGAATCGCATTGTTTTGACCGCTGGTCACCGCGCGACCTCGAGATCAACCTCCCCTTTACCCGCCCAATGCTCGATCGACACTTGTGTACTAAGTCAGCTCATTCAACATTCTTCCTTCCCCTTAGCCTGTTGGTCAGTACTCATTTCTGCAAGAAGTAGAATGGCCGTTACTTTACCATAAACATCCTTAACAAAAACCAAATATATCCCAGCTAAAGAAATGGTTCCCCCATCCAGAGATAATAACGGGATAAAATAAATCAGCTGACGGTGCTTCAGGATGTGCACCGCGGTCGATGTAGTGAAAATATTCTCATCACCGGGTGCACATTCGGTCATACCATCTTCATCAAAAGCTCAACTCAATATTCTTGGGAAATCCCAACGACTCTCATCATACACTTCTAATTTTATTGAAGAATACTACGAAATAGTTCCCTCGTCTACAGACAATACCGTGATAAGAGAAATACGCTGATGGTGCTTCAGGATGTGCGCCGTGGTTGATGTAGTAAAAATATTCTCATCACCGGGTGCACATTCGGCCATACCATCTTTAAATGCTCAACTCTGTATTCCCAGGAAATCCCAATGGCCCTTATCATCGCATCATGCACTTCTAATTTCATCGAACGTGCTGCTAAACGATGTTGGGTCAGTCTTACTATTAAATTAAACATAGCGAGAAACATAGAAAGGCCTGTATCACGTATCTTAAATGTTTTTTCCATATTCAATCTACAAATGATCAACAAGCATAGTGAAGGTGGTTAATTAAATACAAGTTGACAAATTGGAAGTACAATACAATGGGTGTGTATTTCGGGTTTCTTAGACGGTTAATTATTCTATTCAGATAACAAATGTTTGGAATCAAATCAAAGTGCCAATAGCTTTTATCAACAATAGAAACAGAAATTGCAAACAAATAAGTTAGGCGGAGGTATTTCGACTGACATCTTTATCTGCGCGGCCTTTTATTGACTGCTCATTCTTGTTGTTTATTATCCGTGTTATTTCAGAATCAAATTTAGTTTGTTGTATTGCGGCAGGCTTTTTCGGAGCAATTGTCAGCTGATGACCTTTCTTAGGGCCTCGTTTTGTGGATTTTACTTTCTTCTTCAGTTTGACACCACCTGGCAAAGAGACTTTCTTTTTCATTTTATGCTGCACCATGGTTATCTACGTATCAGATTTCAATGCACCTGTAAATGAAGTTAGAAGCCCAGAAACTATGAAATGCGTGCAAATAGCCGCACATGATCTACGGAATACAACATATACAGTGAACAAAATGGAATGTTATCTACACTCCAACATATGATATCACTTTTGCAAAAACAAATTCTAATTTAGGGAAAGAAACCACTCGAATAATTTTATTTAGTTTCACAAACATATTATTTTTTTTAGTTTCACACACACATATAAACAATAAGGAAGTGACAAGAAATTATAGCCAGTAAAAGTTTCTGGTCGAGACAAAAATAAAGGTGGAATTCGTTACCCGCGAGAAATAAAAATCCCAGTATTGAGCTCAAACCATTTAATCTACTTGTTACTTTGAACAGAGAAAAGAATGGATAGAGTCCTTGACTTAATTTATATAAAACGAATATCAAACACCATTACATTTCTATGAATTATAAAGACAAACAATATTTGGAAATGTATCCTCCTTTGAAGAAAAATGCTCAAAATGTTCACTGAGTGAGAAAAGCATCTCATATATCTAAAAACGATTCTTTGATATTCATGAAATTTGTATAAATTACAACTATGATCCAGTTGAAAGCGCAGATGAAAATATAGTGAAGGATTGAAAAAAACAGGCAGCATAATTACAAATATATAATACTTGCAACGAAAAATTTTTTCTTTAATTCAGAAAATTTATAAAAAATTTATGTTGTAATTCATACAAATTTCGTGAATTTGTCGGTTACCTGTCACTATGACAATCAAAGAAAAAAAAGCTGACATGAGTTTGTATCGTACTTAGCATGACATTTATAATTTTACTATTCACAAAACAATTATCAAATAAAATATCCATAGAAAACAGTCAAATAAAGCATCAAATGAATGAGACAAATTTAGACACGACCCCTTTTATAATATCTAGGAAAACACGATATAAGTGTGATGATAATTCATTTGATAAGTAATACTGAAATGAAGGAAGTTAACGTAGTCTTATTAATAATAATTACTCGCAGAATGAATTACTGAACCAGATGTATTACTTGAATGATTCAAAATTAGCGAATAAAAGCGTGATTGAGCAAGTTTTTCCGCAATTCAGAAATTGGTTTTTCGAAATGATTTTCCAATCAACAGAAATTAGTAAACGTGAATTCACTGCCTGCTCCACACACAACGGTAAATATTGCTGTACAAAAGCTCGTTGGCGCCTAAAAACACTTTAAGTTAGCTTGCAATTAGAAAAACTAAGATGTTTACGCGATATTTTTTTTGTCCCAAAATAAATTGAATTTAAGAAACAATTTATCAGTAGTTCCTTCTTCAACAAACCCATCCATCATCTACGGCTCTAATCTCAAAACACCAAACACATAATCTAGAATATAGATTGGTAAATTAACAATCTGAAAATCATTGTTACTTTTTCTAATTATTTCAGCAGTCATACATTGTAGAGGATTAATAAAACCTGAGGTCACTAGGCCATATTTTATACTTCAGTAACCCACGCAACCACATTTTCTGAATTCTGAAACCTTTGAAAGTTTCTTTGCACCCTACTTGAAGTTAACAAGAAAACATGAAACCCATTAATGTCACATAAATCATGGAATTTATAGGCGACAAGGGAGGCCTGCACAACAAATTAAAAAAAATAAAAATCTCTCCAAATATATTACCAACTTGGTTTTCTGAAATTTGCAATCCCCAAAATCATATTAGAATATTAAAAGTTCAAAAAATGAACTAGCCACACCTTCGTTAAGAAACTCCAGAATCAGAATTCTAGTTAGTTCATCTTTGATGTTAAAATTGTCAGTCAAACACCATTGATTACCATTTCTTGAATAATATAAAGCTACTCCTCGAATAAAGTAGTTTTTATTTGCAAAATTAAATGATTGAAATCATGCGTCTCGCGATATCTGTGCATTATGTAAGCTAAGTTGTCATTTGAGGGAAAATATGATGACGACCATCAACAAACTAAACAAAGACTTTCGCTTCGAAAATTGATGAAACCAGAAACAATGTAGAAATCCTGCCCAAATAAGACAGCAACTTGTCTTTTTTTTAAAAATTTGAAATTACTTAAAACAAATCAGAATACCACCATTGGCAAAACCAGCACTAAATATAATGCTCCCTTTTACCGTCATAATTATTTAACAAATTATCCACTTCCAGCCTTCAAGATATTCTTTAGTAAAAACCTTTAAATATTCATTTGATTTCGACTGTTAACGAAGCAGTGAAACAGCTAAAATACGAGCGTACCAGAAATCATCAAAAAAGCGTTGCAAAATTCGAAAGAGAAACCTTGACAGCAGTACGTTCATCTGGAGTAGTACTTAGCTTTTCGAGAAATAAAGAATATTCTTTGTCAAGTGTTTTACGAGAAAGCGTTCGAAGATAATTTAAATCAACAGTAGCACTCGTTATTCTTGGACGATATCTACATCAAAACAACTCAATAACCTTTCGTAAACTGCGTTCTTTAAGTCATTAAACATGGAAGATTTCAAACTCCAGAGATATTTTGAAAATAGTCAGACGTGCATTACGAAGACAGAAATTCCAAAGTAATATCATACTATCTCTTCCTTACTAGACATTATAACGAACTCATCTTTTATAAGATTGCAAAATATTGCCAACAATAAGACTTGGTGACTTAAATACACACAAGATCTAGCTACCAATTCGTCTCATAAGGAATTTAAATCTCAAAATTTCTTTACCACATACATTGTTTCCCACTTTTTGACGGATTTTTTTTCAATATTGACCGAAAAGCTGTTGTTTCACTCATTGTTGCTACCACATTTGAAAATAATTATCTATTATAAAGTCCTATGTTAGCAATTAATTTCGTTAGCAATTAATTTTAATTCAACACTAATCTTCTATATTACATATTAATATGCATATGTATAAATAGACAGCAAACAGAGGAGGGAGAAAAATGAAATTAACTGAGATTCTCAATGTGCAATCAGAAAACTGCATTATCTAAGTACCATATTTGCTTTAAAATTTTGAAAACTTGTGTTTTATTTGGTAAGGAAAATGAAAAACAATAACCTATTCACATAGGATTTAAAATGCTGTTATTGCCTAACCGAACGTAAGTAACCTTTTTATAATGCAGAGATTGGAATGTGTGATGTGCTTAGAGCCATATTTTCTATTGTTTTCTGAAAAAAAAGAAACAACTACATAATTTTCAATTATAACGACAATATTTAATGAGTGTCTAAACTATTTCAAGTTCAAATACTGAGATACCATGTACTTCAATCCACTTCTTTTTAATTCTTGAAAAAATTAAGTCATAAGTCATCGTGAAACTTCCTTTAAGAAAAACTTGCATGACTTTTGTATAAACTTCTTCAACTTTTACGATTTAGTCGACGAATTATAGTTTAGTTTTCTAAATAGATAAGCAATTCCTTTCACTTAATGCTTCCGATTTATTTCACTCAAAAATAATTAGTTTTCAAAATTTACCTCACTTGGCGATATCGATAAGCTCGATGCCTTTTCTTACTTCCTCATCCTTCTCTTTGAGTATCTCTTCGATGTTTCTTGAACCTTTGGACTGCGGAAACCAGCCCAAATTATCGGCAATTAAATGGTAATTTTTGCAACTGTTGCAAGTTACAATTACAACACCTTCCTTGTATGCCTTCTCGGAAAGAAATTTTGGACCCTAAAATTCTTTTTGGTCGGAAGTTCCATTTCCTATAGGTAACTGAGAATTTCAGAATAAAATGATTGATTTATCCTGCCATCTATTTTCTGTATACACGGTACAAAAAATCTGCTAAACCGTGAACTGTGTATAAATTAAAAGTCCCGACTGTGCAAATTATTAATTAACAAGTCAACTCACATAGTTAATCCGTCAAATTATGAATCATTAACTCCTGCACTATAATGTACTTTTGCCTATTGAAATAGCAAATGAATATGTGGAAAAAAACTTCAAAAATACTTACCTGTCGAGTACCACAAACCCTACAGGTATAAGTCAATGATAATCTTCCTTGTAAAGAAACACTGCCTAAGAAGGCACGATGTACAATACGATTTACACGAAGACACCGAATCAGCGGAGATATCAATAGCATCAATTCTTCTTAGTACCAATAACCTAATGGTACCACAACTGAAAATACTGCGGGCAAAAATAACCATTAACAACTAACAGTAATGTTGCTAATGATCTATCTCGTAATACCATCAACCTGTAGAGTAATATCACACAAATGCCAATTTCAACCCAAACTCTTCTATCCCTATCGTTCCCTTTCCTCTCCTTCACTCCCCACATCGACAACCCATTTTTACCGACTTCTTGCAACCTGTGCATAAACCTTGTTTATATCTTACTTTTGATCTGTGTGCCATTATGTAATATAGTGCTCAAACACCTTTTGTCGATTTCATCATTCTCTACCACATAATGCTTTACAATTCCAATAAATGTTTGCCAGTCCTTTCGTTTCTCTCGATCTTTATGTAATATTGTCTTATTGATTTCATCACTCTCTGCTTTCTCTCAAATCTTGTAATATTTTGTCCTTCGTAGATGCTTTCATGTATCCCCCATCTCGCCCTGACCATTCTCACCTATTCGTTTACTTCATAATTTCTCTTACCATGTTTTCCAGAGATTTTATCTGTTAATGTAACTAGTAACTTCAATTTTCTGATTTTATTGTCAGCCGAATAATGATAATTTCATTATTCCATTCAATCACATGGTGGACAATTATGAATTCACTTATTAAATACCTGGCAGATATATAATATGAAATTATGTATCAAATATTAGTCCTAACTGAATGATTCAGATTTAGAATAATTAATTAGAGGTCTTTGCTTTCTGAATTGTTTATGGTGAGCAGTATAGAGTTAAGTATACTAGGTTTCATTTCATGTGTAATTGAGTACTACTATCATTACTACATATACACAAAGATGTACAATAAATCTTCCGATTATTATGCATGCAGTTGAATTGATTTCGTAGATTAGTGGTATGATTTTTATTCTCATTTTCAGTGTTTCGACCTAATATTCCATTAGCCTTTAGCATATTCCATTAGCCTTTAGCACCCTTTATCAGTGAGCGTAAAACATATTCCATTAGCCCAAGCGTAAAACATATCAATGGCATGTTTTGTTCATAGAACATGAATTAAAGAATTACAGGTATTTTTTTCTCATCCTTGGCATTTTCGATTTTTGATCATTTTTGATCCTTGGCATGAAGTTATTTTGCAGTCTTATTTAATACGATATATCATCTCAGATAAGTAAAGAATTGGGTTGGGAATTTAAAAATCATATGTTCCTGAATTGAAACATTTGAGAAAAAAAATTGATTTAATATAGCCAAAACTTGTCCAATCATTCCTTGTGACCACATATCACTGCTAGGCGTAGAGCATTCATTTTTCGTGATTTATCCATGATTTGTTTTAGACCTTCAATAAGATAATTATGTTTATTTACAAAAGCGATAAAGTCTTTAAAATTGGAAAGACAAGAAAAGAGGTCTAAAACAAATCATAAGTTCGCTTTTAAAAATTAAAAAAATTTTATGAGCAGCAAAGAAGTATCAACCAATTTTGCAAAATTTTATTTTCGTAAATTTTCATGCAGGTAATTTTTCTCCTAAAACAGAAAGCAGTTGCTATAATTAAATGAAAGATAATGTGGGATATTGAATCACTTTAATATCTGTTGGCCATATCAAATAATGTCACTGATAAGTTTCAATACTGATAAAATTGTTCTTTCATATTTAGACTGAAAAAAATCTTGTTGATGAATAGAATTGCTGGGATCTTATTCAGAGTGTTAAAATGTTAGAAATAGGACTGAAAAGTTGATATATATGAAAATATTCCAGACAAAAAAAGTTTAATATACCTAATTTTGAAGTACTAAAGTCTGCCTGAAATCGAATCAAGTTCTAGAGGATTTTAAAGCCCACATTCTGGCCTGATAAAATTTGGTATAAATTTACATTTTGTCATGATTTAGTTGATCAATTCAAATGAAAGCAGGCGAGAATTCAAATGAAAGCAGATGAGAATATTTGATACAACGAGACTAGAACACATATTTGATTTATGACAGGTATATTTCTGTAACCTTAAAAAAATATTAAATATAGATATGTAAATGTTGGTTCTAATTCTGTTGATTCTAGAAATGTTGAAACTTTAGCTGAAAACTTTAGCTCATCGCTGTCGTAGCATTCTGGTAACGACTAACTTTAAATAATTAACCGACTATGTCGAATGATTGTCAAATTTTAAATTATTTGCATTTGCATTTTTTTGGACCTTGTACCCATGCTAAAAAAACGAAGAAAAAAACATGAAACGAGAATTCCAGTCATGCTAATGTGAAATTAAAATTCGATCAAAGAAAGGAAAGTTCCTAGAGGTTATAACTTGTTGGGGTAGAACTCGTAACGAAGAATACAAATTCTCCACAATCTTTCATACTTCGAACCTTCAGAATTCACTTCTGTTTAATGTTTGCATCTCCTCAAACTTCCTACTGAAATCTAATTAGCTGTAATCTTCATCAACTTTTATTCCGAACCACCATCTGTCAAGAGCTTTCTAAGCATAGCAACCATAACATGGAATCAAATCGAAGTCATCTATAATTTCTCAGTATTATCGGGATATGTTTGCATATCGTATCATTGCTGAGATCAGATATATTCGACACATAACTCGCCTAAGCATAAATAAAATCAAGAATTGTTGGATTTTCTGAGACTAGAAACCGTACGACAAATTCCAATTCCTTACTCAACAGGTCTGTTCTTTGTTTTTTAATAAAACTTAGAGTAGCTACAGCCTAAAAATTAACCGTTCCAATATCCGAATCTAAAAAATTCGGCGGATAGCGTAGCTAACATTTAATTCAATGCAGAACTACAATTTAACTGCCACCATTTCTGAATGTAGCCAAAAAGTGTTGCAAAAAATTATAGTGGTCATGACAAAAAAGCAAAACTTTTAACAAAAACTATGCACAGTGCACTGAAGAAAACAGGGTCTGATTATTTAAAACAAGAAATAAACCATTACAAATTTTTAAAACATATTCACAAAGAAAATAATAATTCTTAAAACATATTCACAAAGAAAACAATAATTCTTAAAATATTCACAAATTGTCTCTTTAAAATTTTTCAATTACAACTTTTTTAAATTACAACTTTTAAAATTACAACTGAAATCCAGGAGAAGCAGAGGACAAAATCAACGGGAAGGTATTTCGCGCAAAGCACATAGACATCATACACAATACGAATTAAAACATTTAAATACAGTACGAATTAGAATTAAAATTATGTAGTGAAGAGGAAATTTAGGTCACGTAAAATGACAGATAATAGAAATATGCAAAGGCGGAGAAAAGGAAGGAGTTTAGGCAGGAATAGGGTGTATTCCACAATTTTTATTCACAGATGTATTCATTGAGATAATTCAAATGAATGGAGGATGACGTAGTGAAAGGTTCGCTTGCAAAACGTACTGCTGCAACAAATGCTGGAATGGAAGTGCTTCACGTACTCCTAAAACCCAAGATACATATAAATAATAATAATGGTTTTTTTTTTCAAAAAGTATTACTGTACGTATATGTGCATTATGCACAATAATGTTAGAAAGTTTAATCTTAGCTATGCATGATGGATAATCGATCCATATCATGTATCCCTTCATGCAAAATGATATACAAAAATGCATAACTGGCCGTCATGGTGCACGTTTTGTCTGAATTATTCCAGTTAGATCTACTCGGGATTTCAGAACTTACTGCAATGACATAGTTGCTGCTGATTACTTGAACGAAGACTGTTTTGATTGTGATTCAAATGATCCACGGGTGGATTCAAGAAAGGAAATGCAGTGACACAGTTCGAAATGCTTCGCATTGGACTTCCTGGTTTTGCTTTGGTCATTGGCCTGTGATGTAGCAAACCGCGTCGTTTGTGCACATCAGTCCAGCATGGTTCGCACAGATACATGAGGCAGCAAAGTTCCGGACATAAATATCGAGAATCAGAAAGGTTGCACATCTCGCACTGAGCACCATCCATCAAATATGGCTTTATCTCTACCTAAAATTTCATTGCTGTAATGATAAAAAGGAATAAATTTCGTTCCTGTTCTCACCAGTATTCCAGTAGATTTGAAAGTCCGATCGTAACACACAACATGGGAAAATATTTTTAGTCAAATTTGAAAGAAGTCGGATATCTTGAATGCTTATAATATCCCCAAATTTTGTCGTAATATAACAACACAATTAAAAATATTATCCCATACTTGCTACTAATGATTAATTGAAAAAGTTTGTACACATTTTTGGCATCTGGAGAAAAAAATTGCTTAATGAAATTTATGGATTCTATTTCTCTTATCAATTAATTTCGTCCCTCCTTGCCTTTCTAATTATTGTTTGTTTTTACTTCTTACCCGTTTTTACCAATCTACACCTTCTAACTGTCATTTTATTGTCATAATAACTGAAAATTTATAAAAATGGACTTACTTCTTTGACCTGATCAGTTGTCGTTAATGTTATCAAGCGCATTGCAATCGCTGTAAGGTAGGATTCACGACTATTGAAAATCACCCGCGCTGCTCCTTTTGGATACTTTGTATCAGCGTCGACTTCTAACGAAACATATGCGATGTCACCAATAGCCTGCTGGAGTAGCATTGCCAGTTCCGCTAAAATATCAGAAAAATAATATTTTAAAAATGAATGATCTCTGAATAATAAATAATATTATTTTGCCTCGGCAATGGTATTCGGCAATTGTTGAATTCAAAAACAGCATGCTGTTTACACTAGCCTCGAATTCAGAGGTTCATGCAGTTCTAATTATTTCTAAGAAATAATGAAAGAACTCGTCTCTCTACAACTTTTATTTCAAACAAGGATAAATGTGGTAGCAGCACTGCTCTTAATGCGATAGCAGCACTGTAATTATAAAGAATGAAGCAATGTTAAATGAATAAGAAATCTGAAGGGCACGAAGATCAATGTATATGTCCATGCAAATTACGAAATTACACGTGATCCCAACCTAAAACCAACAAGAAGTTAAGGATTAGTCAAATCACTAACATGCAGTTGTTGTACGCGGTACACCACCGATAAAAACGGAATATCGATCAGATAGTAACGGTTCGCCCGTCACATGGTATACTTGATCGCTAAGAACCCAAGGTCTCACCTGCACCTGCAATTTTACTATTTATCACACGGTTATAGCCTCGTCTCATTTTTATCGTCTTTTATGAATAAAGCTTACTCTTTTAAACTTTTCAAGTCGTAAACTTACCACTTTAACATCTTTTTTGCCATTTTTCAAAACAATATTCAGTCTTCCCTGCTTGTAAATGCATCGGCTAACTAAATATTCGACAGAACGGTCGCTGATGAAAACCACAAAAGCATATCCTGAAACTGGCTCACTTAAGATTTCAAAAGAATAATTTTGTACGCAATCAGATTAATGAATAATGATTTCTTCGAGATCATTGAAACATACTACAGATGTGCAAAATACACTCGCTCGTGTAACATGAGCTGATCTCGCAAATAATGCCTACTATTGTTAAAGCACCTGTTTCACGTGCAACAAACTTGTGCAATAACTTATTTGCTATCTTCCGTTCTGTTCTATACAAACTTCTTTAAGTTTAGACTTTATTTGAAAAATATTGTAGACCGTGTTGTAACTGTCTTTCATTATCAGAAAGGTCTGTCAGCATTGTCGAACATCCGAATAACTTACATCGCACTTTTTTCCCTACCCGCCGCTCATGAAGTTTGTAAATGGCCGATTTACTCCTCGATTACTTGACAACAAAGAGAAAATGATACGTAAAAAAACGCTAAATTGTCAGAACTTTCTAAGCATTTAAAAATTCAAACATAAGAACTAAAGGAATATCACGAAGACTTGCCGTTTGGCGGGGTATCACTTCCAGTACATTTGCGATGGGGCCAGTCAACTTCGTTTGCTCCAAACTGTTCGAAGAACAAAGAAATTAGGTCTAAAATATTACAATGGATCTGAAGAAATGACTACTCACAGGTGCGGAAATTTTAAAAAATTTTGTTGTGGAGCCAAAAAAAAAGAAATTGAAATCTTACCAGCGGTCACATCAGGTGGAAGCCCACCAATAAACACTTTACGAGAGAAAATCCCAATCTCTGGAAAATTTTGCGGCACTATATCCGGAACTGGAACCTGATTGTCGTTGCTGTCACAGCTCCAGATGTTCTTCACTTGCGCAATTGCTGCTAGAAATTAATTTGTTCTTCAAACTTTAAAGTAAACAACTATTTCCAGGAGATTTGGAACAATATTTTAAACCACTAAATATGCCTTATCTAAATTCAGCCTACGCTGTAATAATGAGGTGAAATGGTAATGGCTCTGCTGTGCTACAGCACAGTTGAAGAAACGTTCTAGAGGTTTAAAACATTTTGAGAAAACAATGATCATATAACATATCATTCTATTATGAATCAAAAGAACGATTTGAAGAAAAATATTTCTTTCAATATTCTTTCTGTACACAGCTGTACTCAATATTCGCTTCAGAAAATATATTAAAATACACTGTTTACCGTAACCACTGAAATTATCGTTCCCAAAAATGTTGTAGCTATTCGTTGTTGCTGATATGTTTGCTCTTCCGAAATCGCCTTAAGTAAGTCAAAAAAGATATTAAAAACAAATTCATACAGCTGTATTTAGAGAATTTATTATGAATTACAACCCGATATTAGATATCTAGTTTTTGTTATTTTCACTTTCATTTTGCTTTTCCGAAACATCTTGTAAAAGAAGGTAGTCTCAGGAAAATCCAGTGTGAGTAAAGAGAAATATGAAATTAGGAAATACCTGGTATTAAACCTTGGTCAACACCAGTATTTTTTGCCTTTTTCATTGAACAGCAACCGTTATTTTCGTGTCAATACTTTAAAAATAAATGAAGCTATGTTGGACAATTAATTTCGATTAAGAATATCTTCGAATAAAGAAAATAGACATGCATAGAATAGCAGCACTTCTTAAAATATCTTATCTATGGATACCTGGAAAATGGACATTTCCAAAAAATTCTCACAAATTTAAATAGATAATTTATAGGGAAAGAAAGTAACAGACTCTTGAAAATTTTTCCTATCATCTTAGCAAGCACATCGAATTCCGTCCAAAAACTCAGTTTCTTACTTCTCCCAGCAATACTACAATATCCACGTAACACTTCACACCACGTCTTCCCCATCCTTTTCCGTTTGATAATAGCACTCTAATAAAAATAACCACCAAAATGCATCGTCGTTCTAAACAAATCATTATTGATACCATTTGAAAAGTCCATCCAAATTGCACGTAATTTAGCCTGCTAATGTCCACATGCAAAATCTTATGCCAGCAACAGACACGCCCACAGAATGCACAACCAACGCAAGGGTTGCGTGATAAGCATTATACGTAACACGTGAGACATCACGCGCCACATCCCACAGACCTCACGCGTGCATATGACCGTCTATTTTGCAGTTAGCCGCAAGGAATGAACCTAGGATGACAGCATCGATGTCAGTTTACTTCAAGATTTCCCGCCAATAATAACGGAGGTATACGCCTACTCTATTCTAGAACATTCCATAGGGTAGCCTGGAACTACTGACTTTTCATCTTCCTTCAATCGACAACTGCCTCCTGTATGTTTCATTCCATTACTTCATACCGTTACATTCTTGTGACGTATTGAGGGGAAATCTTGAAATAAACTGGTGTCGATACGGTCATCCTAGGTTCATTCCTTGCGGCTAACTGCAAAGTGGACGGCCATATGCACGTTTAAAGTCTATGGGATGTGGCGCGTGACGTCTCACGTGTTATGTATGATTTTACCGTGCAATTACACGTTGTACACTTACGTCTTGCAAATGCCGATTTTAGAGGAAAAATTAGGTGAAAAAAAATATGCAACACACTAAAATGTTCTCTGCCTTGTTCTCAAATATCTCGTTTTATTATATCACTGGAAATTTTTTATCACATTATCTTACATATTAAGTACCGCACGTTGAACAGACTTTTTTCCTACTTTTCAAAATTCGCAAATTATTTTCAAAGAATTGTTCAGACTAAATTGTGTTAAATGTCTAAGAAAAAAAAGAAATGAAGAGTGCTTTGAGCGCCGTTTCCATATAATTACTTTTTCCTTTTATCAACTTACAAAGAAGTTGATTGAAGTTGCTGAACTAAGAATTGTAAATTTTGAATTTGTTCTAGCCGTATTTTTTTATATGCTTCAGATTCCTTGCAACTACTCGCCTTAATTTCAAATCATATAAATATCTGGTTCTATCATATTCGTGCACCAATTTTTTAGTAACTTTTTTTTAATTCTTAATATTTCCTTGTTGTTTCCTTCAACTGCATCGCTCTTTCAACTTTCCACTCACTTTTATGAACATTTTCAATTCCAATATTTTTTCCTTTCATGCGTAGGAATGATACATTCATTAGAAGCTTCAGATGCACTAAATCTTATCGAGTTTGTATGTAATATCCATTTATACGAATCAGCTACGGCTACGAATCAGTACATCGAAAATCTTTCATACATCGGCAACATAGCATAGCTCAAACCGACTAATGGCAGCAGAGCCAATGCACATCATAATCTGACAGTGATATCAAACGAAATACAAAACACTGTACACTTTGTTACGTCATGCATCCAGTAGACATGACTCATTAATCGTTGCAATTAGCACACCATCAACATGTATTTCAGATACTCACATACGGTACCAAAACAGTGCAATGAACAGTCAGTTACCTATCCTTTCGCTTGGTGAAAAGTTTTAATTGTGCTCTGGGACTGAAATTTCATGGACTGAAATGTAGTTTGTACTATGACGGGTTAAATATCACTTTGCTAATCCTTGTAGGAGCTTATGGAATTGCTTGAAGGGGTCGGTATTGTTAAGGTTTGTTTAAAGATTAGATCATATTTCACCAGATTCCTTCCCTTTTCTTTTTTCTTTCTGTCCCTCTATTTATTGACTTCTCACTTTATCAGTGGTCTAAATATGACGCGAAAAGATTAACCGATATGACGTGGAACAGTTCTATATACACAAGTCATTGTTATGAGCGACGTGGAGATTGGTAATGTTGTGGGAGGGGGAGGGGGAGGAAGGAGAGGGAAGCAGTGATCTTTTAGAACAGATGAGGGAGAAGAAGAGATGAGATTCTTGTTATTTCGGACGGTTGTGAAAAGCTTTATCCCATTAATTTATGTCGTCTATGAGATGTTATGACCATATATAAATTAGACTTAGTTTTTTCAGCTCTTCCCAGTATTTTTATGAAATCATAAAGGAAACATATGAGCTGAAAATAAATTTTACTGCACGGAGTATTAGTGTCGCGGCTATTATCTGTGACTTTCATATCGCTGCTGTATTAATAATGTCATATGCAAATAGTTCTAAGTTCTAATCAGTGTTGAGGATGTTAAAGAGCAAATTGATTGATTGATGTTAAAGAGCAAATTGAAAGACTGCATTCTTTTTTATTGTTGGAGACTGATATTATGTTCAGATTGGACGGAGATCGTTTCTAAAATATTAATTCTATTTTGTGTTATTTTCAGTCAATATAAATGCCTGCCAAACAGCGAATGAATGTGGCAAATTCAGTCTTCAGTAGGAATGTCTTATCACGCGGCAATGTACAGAAAACTTTAGTAAGTTCTTTATCAATGCATCGTTTTATAATGTCGTCTGATTGCTGATTGACGAGCCTCTATCGTCTTCATAGGTTTTTCGTAATTTAACAGAGCTTTGTGGCTACTTTTTTTTGTCTGACATGTACGTCTACGCATACATGTGGTCGAAGTTGACGTGCTTATCGGGACGTTTCTTGCAGTTCACTTTTTTTGTTACAATATGTTTGTTTCTGCAATTTTAGTAGGATGGACTATGTGATGGATTTTTTATTAGACTGTAAATTGTATGAATTAAAGAAAATATTTTCAGAAGCCGCAGGAAGATAAATATGCTACAACTCCATGGTTAATTGGTCTTTTTGTCTTCGTTGTTTGTGGTTCCGGTAAGGTTTTTCTTAATTTATCAAGCATTGTTGATTTATTTGTTTTTTTTTCCCGGTAGTATGGTGCTAATCATTGGTTGATACTGTAATTGCCCCATCAGCTCAGCCTTGGCGATGCATCAACCTGTTGCATCTCAATCGTTCAACGGGTCTTGCGCTCCGAAGTGTTGGCTGTAGCCTTATGTTCTAGTCATTATCAGTCATACTAGAATGAGATCATAAAATGGAGAGGAAGTCACTAACTTTTGTCGAGATGTAAGCAATCAGTGTTATTATCCCAAAGGATATTTTTTGTGCTTTTTCTTTAGGATTTTAGCTTTAACTATACCGGAAAAAATATGAAAGTAATTTCAGCTCTAATCTGAGTTCGTTCTAACTTACTTCCTTTTCTCACATTCGACTTCGTGAAACCACTTGCTTTTATCAAACTCTTCATAAAGATGAAGAATGAATTGCACTTAAGCGGCCTTGTATTTTTTTCATGAAAACATTTTTTAATGTTTCTCAAGTCCAGTGGTGACCCAGTAGGGCAGCAAGTAGGACAAAGAGGCAGGTTAAGTGTTTCTGCATTTAAGTTGATCGAAAAAATGATGTTCTCTTATGCCCAGCAATAGATGCATCCGCTAGGAATATACATTGTTTCAATGTTCGAAAAGTTCGACAATTCTAGTTATAATTATCTAGGATTTTATAGGAAGCTTTCTTGGCTTTTACAATCAATAGTTTCAGCTATATTCGAAATTATCCGATCTGTGAAGATGGGATGGTAAAGTGATTTACAAGGAATATAACCTCTTTCATCGCATTCATCAATTTAATTTTTTTCACTGTATTTTTGATGTGAGGATCCGTGCTTTTTCTTTATTCCATTGCCACTTAATTTCGATTTTTTTCATATTCATTTGTGTATGTAGGTAATGTGCTACAAGTTTTCCTTTTGCCCTTCCGGAAGGTCTGTTTTCTACAATTTGGAAAAAGTTTGTGATTTTTTTCACATAGTTTGGTTCATTGTTTTCTGAATCATGTTTCGTGTATAATATTGCGAAGGGGCTGGATGATTATACAGTTTTATAAATGCGTATTGGTATTTAATGATGGATTTGGATGTCATCTTGCCTTATTAATTGTAACTGTTCTTATAACAATAAAGTGTCTCGCTAAGCAGTTCGTTGCTTAGCAATAAAAAATTTTAAGGCATTAGCTGGCCCTTACACAAATTCATCAGTTTTAAATTGGAAACCGGGAAATTTTAGGCTTAAGGACTACTGATCTAAGTTGTTGCGGAGATTTTTAAGGAGTTGTGATGAAATTTGATGTGGCAATATGGTTTACTGAATCTATAAATTTTCTATTTCGTGGAAGATTTAAAAGAAAAGATACTAAGTGGTTCCTTAAAAAAACTGTCAGCAGAAGTGATAGTAGAAAGGAGGTAGCTTAGGAGAAATGGCCCCGAGATTGAGAATACATACGACAAAGGATCTTATTAATTTAAAAGTAAATTCGAAATATGAAAGAACAAAATAGAAAAAAGTATGTTACGCGAAGGACGAAGGGATAATGTTTATAAAAGTTTGCTTATTCTTCAATAAAGATATGTTTTGAAGACAATCTCTTTAAGAAAAGGAATGTTGGTTATTTTTTGTCTTAATTCCGCCTCGTAGAAGTAATCATTGTTACTTGCAGAGGTTAGTCTTGCACTCGTAAATCATTTTTAAACAGATGGAGTTGGCATAAATTGTAAATATTGCAAAAATGGAAGTCATTGTGCGATTTGGTGGTGCTCCTAAAAGGTTCATTATTCTGTGTCAGGACCTAAAGTGTCACATCGTTTCAAGGGGGAATGAACAGCTCGTCTAAAACTACAGTAGCACCAAATAACTGTTACGTTGGTTTCATCGATTGACTTAAAAATTTCACTTTTTGATTAGATTTATTTTTTTTTCTTTGACATTACTTGAAATGAAAAGGACACACAAATTGTCACCCCATAAGAAAACGTCGAAAGCAATCCTCATCAATAATAAGTAATTGTGATGAGTGATAACTATCTAATTGCGAAACTTATTTAATCCAATAAATGAGTAATTGCCATTGACTTATTTAAGGAGCAAACATTTAACCCATTGAGGTAGAAAAAGGTGTGGTTTTCAGCTCTCTTTCTTTTCATTTTTATTTTATAATGATTCTCATTGAAAATGTTGCATGTATCCATTTGTTTGAAAGTTTATTTATTTTTCCTCTTTCAAAATTTTTGCATATCAGAATTAGGTTATTGTTAAGAAATGCTAAGCATCTATGAAAATTTTTGCAACAATCAACGAATATCCATTATTATTATTATTATTATTATTATTATTATCATCATCATCTTATTCAATAATTGATTCAATCATTTAGTAAAGAATTGAAACTTTCTTCAAATAAAGAGTTTTCTTAGCATGCATTGATTGATCATGCATTAAAATGTAATTGAAATACGAAATTAATCGTTCTTCTGAAGTGAATAATAATGTTTGGAACCAGAATGACATCCAACAGATGTCAAGGTTAGCCATATGTGGAGTTCAAACCATCTTGAATCGAAATATTGGAATTGACAAGCGTTTCCAAAAAACCCTTTTTTTTGTTTCACAAATCTGGCTGTCACATACAATCATCATTTCGAACACACACACACACAGCTCAATTTTTTTCGATCATGTCTCTACTTTAATTCGTTTTTTTAAATTTATGGTAGTTGGTAATAACATTACTCACATTTCAATTGTAATTAATAAATATCGCATGGATTTTTCTCAAACAATTAAGTTTCTGACGTGAATTTATTAATTATGTGCATAAAAATTTCCACAATTTTTATGTATTTCATAATGATAATATAATATTATTTTTCTAAAAATGAGTAAGACATTTTAGAGAGTGTAATAGGTAGGTGTTATAGTTTTATAGTCATTGGAAGGATGCATTTCATGACAGTGTTTTTGTATTAATTTATTTTTATTGTTTTCCTTGCAAATTTATTAATTGTAATTCTTTATTCTTTTCACAGGTAAAATTTGTGATGCATTAGAAGAACGAGATGAAGATATTATTACGAGCGATTATATATTTATGTCACATAATTGTAAGGTTTGATTAAAGACAGCAAAAAAAACGAAATTTGCATGATTTAGTTAGCAACTATATGATATTAAATATATGTGGTGGGAATATGTCAAATACACGTGTGTAATACAGAATTTTTTGTTGTATAATTAATTGGCAGCATGGTAGGTACAGCAATATAGACTGTTAATTAATTGGTAATTATAATTTTTTTCCTAAAAATAAATTTGTAAAACATTTAAATTGCATCTTTGGTACTACGTTATATGGTTGTTTATTTCAAAACAGATAAACGCTCAAAATGACAATATTATTTCAAATGATTATGCAGAAGTTCGAGTATTGCTAGATCAGTATTACGAGATAACCGCACGAAAATATGGAACATTTCATGATTATGTAAGTACATTGATAACATAGGTATATTTAACATTTTATCATATCTTATAAAATCTTCCTGATATTTTTGAAATGCTTGAAAAAACTGGGCTTTAAATTCTTTTTGTATCAAAAAGGAGTAGCCTCAAAGTTATCAGTGCTTATAATTTGTTAAGCAAATTATGAGCAAAATAAAATGGAAGCAAATGGTTTTGTAACACATCAAGCTGCAGCATTAACAAATTTGTTGAAATTAGTCCTAATATGTTTTGCCTAATTTGATAAAATGAATTGATCAATTTATCAGTACAAAAAAATAGTGTTGGTGATATTAACAATTTTTCAAAATGAGTCATCAGTATTAACATTAATGTTCCGCAAATGAAATTCGGGAAAGCAATTAACAATCGGAATCCAGTAAATTGAACAAAGAGGATGAGGGAAGAATTGAAAGGAAGTTCGATAAGAAGATTTTCCTGGATTATCTTACTGATATCGCTGTATTCCTTTCATTATGTATTATTAATATATTTCAAGTCATTATTATTTTACTGAAATTTTCAAGTTTCTGTTACAGGATTCTAAAAAAGTGAGCAAAGAATTGAAAGATATTTCTATTGAAGATGGCACAGAAGGAAGTATTAATCGTAAGGAAGGTATTGTAGGTGACCTATTCGAGAATGACATTTTATTAACATTACCGCAAGTTAAGGCTTTACTTAATGAAGACATTAAAAGCAGTAAGTTATTATTATTAAGTAAAATTTCAACTTTTCAGTGTATTCAGAATTTTAAATTTAATTTGATTGAAAGGAATATTTTAAACGTCATGACTTATTGGATTGTTTTGTATCGGACAGCTGCACACATTATATTATAGTTCATTATTTTCTCCCATCTCTGCTACTCATAACTTCTATCAAAAAGATAGTATCAACAAGAGATAAGTGAAAATCTTCCAAACTGATTCTTATCTTCTCATGGAAAGATTAAAGATGGATTTGATAAATTTTGAAAGTTTCAATATTTGTATATATAACTACTTGACCATTTCAAAAACCCATTATTTGCAACGAATTTTATTTCATCATATGTTTGCATTTCCGGCAGTAAAATATATTACACAAAAAGCATTTTCGGCGAAGTAAAATATATTACACAAAAAGAATCATAGATCAAAAAAAAATGATTTGCTTCAAGAAATTAACTCTTCCAATTATAAATTTAACTTCGCCAATTAAATATAAATATTTCATAAAAAAATTTTATTGAAATTGCCAATAATTGAGTAAATTTGAAATTTTATTTTATACTAACAATTAATAAAAAAAATGGTAAATTTGAATGAATTAATATCAACACATATAATTAATTATTAATTTAAGGAAGTAATCGCCAAGCAATTCGAGGAACGCAATATAAATGGATGAAAATGCCGATATCATACTATTTCGGCAGTTCAGATGGTAAACTAAAAAATTGCTTAGTGAAATTAATTGAGTTTAAAACTATTTTACTTGACAGGAAGTTTACTCCGAAATCGTTTATTTTAAATAATGATTTGTTTGAAAATTTTTTTAAGAAAAGCTTTCTTTAAAAATTCGAAAAAGAATTTTTATTTGAAATGATTTATAGTCAGATGGCAAAATTTAATTCGTACAGCTTTACGCCATATCGAAGCGGAAACATGCGTTCGCTTCAAGGTTTGTATTAAAAAAATAGTATTAATGTGAGCAAATTTATTTAAATCATCAACAATTCAATTGAATAATTTAATTAATTTCAGGTGCTAAAAATCATTTTAGGAATTAATTTAATGTTTCGCATAATAAAATACTCAATAATTTTTTGTGCAAATTACATTTATCAACGATTTGCAATTTGTTCGATAATTAAAGCATAATTAATAAAAAGTGTTTGAATTTAAAAAAAATCCAGGAAAGCAGTGGCAACCGGGATCACATATATTTCACACAAAGGGCAGGATGTTGGAGTAATGTTGGTAGAATTGGCGGTCGACAATTGATATCTATTGGATATGGATGTGAATCGGTTAAGTTTTTTGAATTTTATGCATTTTCAATTTTTCATATCTTTAATTATATTTTAGATGAAAATTATTAATTATTTATCAAAGTTTGAATCATTTTAAGTATTATCATTGAATTAAATTTGACACATATTAAGCATCAATAATTTATTCTTCTAATTTTGCAAATGCATACTATTAAAAATTTTAATTTAATTTTATTTTAAAATAATTTAGATGGGCATAGTGACACATGAAGTACTACATGCTTTGGGCATTTGGCATGAACAATCACGTAGCGATCGTGACAATAATATTTGGATCAACTATGCCAATATTTATCCGGTAGTGCAAACTCAGGCATTTAGCATATTAAAGGAAAATTAGCAGTAGGCTTTTCATAATTTCAGACAAATAGCGTCTTTTATTAAAGGATAAAGTTCTACTTCATTTAATTCAATTTATCCATTTATCCATTTAATTTTAGTAATTTCAAGGGTACTCAAGGAAATTTTGAAAAACGAACAACACTAAATACTGATAACATGGGATTATCTTATGATTTTGGTTCTGTGATGCATTATGGCTCCAAGGCATTCACAATCAGTTTTAATAGGTTCAAATTCTATCATTATAAAATCCTAACGAGATTATCACATTTATTGATCAGTATTAAAATGAAGTGATTATAATTCATTTATATAACAGAAATTTTTATATTTTTTTCAAAAGAATATATCATTTAAGATAATTACTTTTTAAAGCATTTGATCTAAAAAATTTAAAATTTTGTATAATATAGGAATTTGATTATAAGTTTAACAATTGTCAACGAATATGTCAAATAAATCATTACTACCACAAAATCATTTAAAGGTATACGATTGAGACACATGATCGTCGATATCAACAAACAATCGGACAACGAGGGGCACTTTCATTCAAAGATGCAAAAATGATTAATTTAGGATATTGCAATGGTAAACTTTCATCAGTTCAATGAATTCAATCGAAATTTATTTATTGCTGCTTCTTACATTAGCTGTTGAAAAAAAACATGAAGAAATTATAAATTCACTCGTTTTTTATTGCATTTCTACTTTGCTTCATCCAGAAAATGCAGATTTCTGGAAAACATAAATGAAATCAGGAATTGATATTCCATGTTCTAATCATACAATCAGACATAACAAGAATAGAATAAATATAATGATAAACAAGAGAATCAGCTGGTCAATATATTTATGATAGATTTTTGGAACATTTCGGAAAAAAATGAATAATTTGAGTTTTTATAAAATAATAACTACGTTTTCTTTTTTTGAAAAATCTTTGAAAAATGGGAGAAGAATAAAAAAAAAATAATGACAATTGATTGGGACGATATATTTTAGATACCTGTAATTATCAAATGATTTGCTACAATGGTGGATACACAAATCCAAATAACTGTTATCAATGCAAATGTCCGAGTGGATTAGGTGGAACAAATTGCCTATCAGTAGAAAAAAGCAATAAGTTTTTTTTAATTATCATCAATCACACTAATATATTTATTAAATTAAGAGCATTGTGATTTCTGTCTGGGAAAAAATTATATATCGAAAAATTTATTTAATAGATTGATTACATACCTGAATGAAATAGTAAAAATGAATAATAAAATTTACTAGCATAACTTTAATTTACCTTAGTGATATAAAAAAATTTTTAGAAATAAAGAGATATTAATGCTTGCAAAATTTAGTTATTTATGTGGTAAATTTGTTGTATTTCCTGATTTAATAGCATATAAATTAAATGAAAAAAAGGAAACGATGTATTTTAGATACCTGTAATCAAATGAATTGCTACCGAAAATTTTATTTAATCGATAGGATTATGTACCTGAATGAAATATCAAAATAAATATTTTAAGAACACCGAAATGTGGTGGTGAATTGTGGGCTAATAATAGTTATCAAACGATCAATAGCATTAACCTACGTGGTAACATTCATTGCGTTTGGAGGATTAGAGTAAGTTTTGGAAAAAAAGTTGTAAATTTAATTAAGGTGAATAAATGGAATATATTTGCTAATAGATGCAATTAATAAGCTAATGAACTATGACAAAAATAATCAATGGAAAATCTTATCATTTATTCCACATTATCACAGTATTAACTGAGAGACAATACTTTATTGATAATTGATTATTAAAATACTAATTGGTAATTTTAACAGGAGAAATTTACCCAATGATATATAAAATTTAGTAATTTTTTATTGACAATTTATTTTTATAATAAAAGTAACGCGTTACAATATTCTTTTCGATTGATACATAACTTAATATCAAATCATTTCAATCCATTTATTATTGTGTCAATCACTTCCCAGGTGTTCTTGAACATTTTCTTTCAGTAATTTTCAATTCTCTCTAAAAATTTACCTGTCAGAATATCTTGCATTTAAAATTTATCAATATTATCATTCATTGCAGTCGAAAGCACAGGTGCTTTTATACGTCGATGAATTGAAATTGCCTTGCAAAAACGCATGTACTAGCTATTTGGAATTGAAATTTAAACAAGATATGATTCCCACTGGTAAATATTCACCTAATCGATAAATATATCAAAAGCATTCTCAATTATTTTTATTATCTCAATCTATCTTACAGATATCTCTGATCAATTCAATTTATTCTATAGAAAAAAGAAATTTAAAAAACTTTTTTTTCGAAAATTAACGTTGATTATGTTTAAAATCATAATGCTTAAATTTTTCTTCCTTTTTTTAAAAAAAAGGAAGTGAATTTAAATTTTTTAAATTATCGTCAAAAATCGATGACATTAAAGAGAGAGAGAAAGAGAGAGAGAGAGAGAGAGGATAGTAAAGGAAGAAAAATTAAAATAATAAATATTTAGTATGACAGACAATAAATTGTTAAGGGACAAGACATTGTTGTGGACCACCAAATGCTTGGATAGCAAGTGAAATGGATACTATCATTATCATCTATTTAGTAAACGATGATTTCGATGGGCAAGGATTTAAGTTACGCTATAAGCTAAGCAAGTTTTAAATTCGAAATAAAAAAAGGAATGCATGTAAAACTAATCAAACAGTAACAATAACAATAGTATTAATATGTAAATGAATAAGAGAGCTAGCAATTAATTAAAGATAACGATGATTATGCTTGTCCTGCGCAGTTATCCAAATTTAATTAAGCAGAAATTAATTATTTTTTTGTGTACGAAAATTTGGATAAATATCAGACACTTATTAATAGTCTTCATGACTTATCATTAGAAGAAAGTGGAAAACGCTTGATTTATACGCACGTTGAACGACATATCATCACATTGACATATGACTTTTAGCGTATAGCATATAAGAATTCACGTAATAGTGAACAATATAAAGATATATGGCAAAGGTCACTTATAAAAAGTAAGAAATGAAGAAAAAAGTATAAATAAAGAATACGATTACTCATCATATGTTTACGATTTATAATTAAGCAAACGGAAGTATAGTGACCGATAAGTATTTCAGATGATTTCAGCATTCCACCATTCAAAGGTCCGACGTATAAAAATTTAGTAAGTTTGCTAATAGATTGTATTTGTTTACAATTATAACGGAGTATAGATTTCAATTAGAAAAAAGAATTGGACAAAAACAATCCTTATTGGCTTTGATCAATGTTTTATTTTGGATTAGGGATAACTTAAAGATGAAGAATTATTACAATTTTGAGAAAAATCGCTGTAAATAACAAATGTCATATGCTAATACAATTTTAGACATTAAATTTCACTTTTCAAGAATAGCAACTGAATAATTCTTAAATTTCAAAAAACAATTAATAATAAGAAATTGGTTACTACGACTGTTCCATTGCCACAACCTAAACCATCAATAATAACAACAGTAACAAGAGTGAAAACTACTACTGTTATACCTATGAGAACAACAACAGGTATATTTGTTTTTGTAAAAACTTTTTTAAATTCCATTAAATCTAATCTTCTGATGAAATGATAATCATTAATCTGAATGTAAATGCATAATTATGAATTATTTAGAACTATTCTCTGTTATTCTGCCTAATTTTTTTAATATGAAAGTGAAAAATTTTATATTATAAAATAATGAATTGAATGTTTTAGCAACGATCACATGGAGTAAATGGGGTCTATGGAGCGCATGTTCGGCGACTTGCGGTGGCTGTGGCAAACGACGTCGTGTTCGAGCATGTTATAGCAAAAATCAGCATTGTCCGTAAGGTTTCCTTTTATTTCACGTAATGTTTTTCAGTGCTTGAAATTGTTTTAAATTTGTACAAACTTGAAAATTAGCAAATTATCATCAAATGCAACTTTAATTAGATTTTATAAGTTTTATTGTGAAAAACTTCTTTCTTTCTCGAAAAAATTTTTTAGCAATTGCTAAATTATTGTAAATTTAAATATTACGAAATATCTTGAAAATAAAAATCAATTACTAATAGTGAAGGCATTCAAAAACAATAGAACAATAATAAAATATCTTAAATAATTAATCAATCAATTATTTAATAAAATTATTTCAGAGGACCAAAGGAAGAGATGGAAGAGTGTGGTAAAAAACGATGTCAAATATGGAAAAATTATAATTGTATTGGTCGATTAGTTATGCCATGTAGTCTTTATCACAAAATACAATTTGCTACAGATAAAGGTTTAAAAATTAATTATAAATAATAAAAAGCATAAATGTTAAAAAATTATCGATATTTCGCTAAATTAAATAATACATTTAAAATCATTTGTTTCAAATTCGATTATTATTATCATTGATTTGCAAACATCGAAATAAAATTTATCAAAAATATGGAAATTCAAAAGTTCACGTTTTGTTTGACGTAAAAAAAATGTGTCATCAAAGCTTTTTAATTTATAATTCCTTAATTCTTAAGTAAACATAATGCAAATATGTGAAATAAACAATCTAAATTTTCCATATATATCAATTATTTTTTATGCCATTCAATTTTAAATAAAATATAAAAATTCAGCGATTCTTTTTCCTTTCCGTAAATTCAGGATTGGATGTAATTCGAATCCGAGATTGATTTCTGACCATTTAAATACAATAAAACAATTAGGCATGAATAAATTCTCTGTAATTCATATCATTTCTATAACTGATATTTAGAATTTTTCGATTATTGTATTATTAATTATTCTATTGTTATTAGTTAATTACTTGTTATAAGTTTTAAATTAAAATTTATAGCTGATATATACATACCACCTGCTGATAGCTTGGCTGTAGATCAATACAAGTACAAACAATACGTCAAGTCAGCCTTTTCTGGTGAACGACTTTGTGAAAAGTAAGTTTGTAGCGTTTTGTATTTTTTATCAGAGAAAAGAAGAAGAATGATAAGTAAAAATTTTGTTGCTGCTAAAATTGTGCACTTCAATAATTAAAAATAAGAATTAGAAGAATATTAAATTATTTTGTTAAAAAGAATATCAATAACTAATCCAATCAATTAATTGTTTGTGCTAATGTAATTTTTGCAGCTAATTGATTGAAACGAAATTTTATTTTTTATTTCTTTTGAGGTATTTTCATTATTTTTGTCCAATGTCGACGCTCACTGTTTATATGGGTTGGAAAGGTGAAAATAATTGGTTGAAGTTGAATAAGCAAGGATGCTGTGACGGATATTACTACAATGGAACTATTTGTGTTCCTTACTGATATTTACTTCTTATCAGCAAATTATTTATTTTACGACTGTTATTCGTTTGAAATTATTGTTATTAGCATTTAATAATTTGCTAAAAGTAGAGAAGACTGATATTAAAACTTAGGAAAAGCCAATGAAAAAAACGAAAATTTTGTCTCAAAACAATTTATGGAAATTGTTTTGTTATCAATGACATTTTCTAGATTTGTTTTAAACTAATTTCTTAAGTTTTATTCATTTACATATTATCGTTTCTACTATGACATGTTAAGAATGTAAAGTGAAATGTAATTAATTAGAGGGAAAAACTAAATGCAAATTATAATACATTATTGTGATCAAACTCATTCCGCCAATAAGTATTTGCTTTTTGGAGAAATAAGTTAATGATAATTAGCTTATAAAGCGTTATCCTCGAAGATAATCAAATAATTTAATTCATCTGTTTATTTTTTTAACATGTCATAGTAGAAATTTAATTCATCTAAAGTGATTGTTGAGAGAAACTTGTTATCAATAACATTTTTTTGGATCTGTGATTTGATTTTGATAGTTTTAACATTCCAAATAATTCCAACCGAATTATTTCCTCCCATTCTTGATCATTCCAACCGAATCACTTTCTCTTGTTCCTGACTATTCTAATCAAAGGTATTTCCTCTCAAATTTTGTTATTTCCAATTCTTTTCTTATAATTACTATTTACAGGTGAGATATTCTTTACGGCATTTGAAATCTTATTGTAAATATCTTGAAAGTTCTATTGCTCCATAGAAATTTTATCAAAATTTGTGAATATTTTTAATAACCCCAGTATACAGTAGGTTATAGCATTCAGAAATGATTCATAAAATACAGTACTCGCATTTAATTAATACATTTTACAGTCATTGCAAAAATAATATTTGATATTTTAGATTTAGTACGACTGAAATTTACTGAAAAATATTAGGCATTTATATGAATAAATAAATAAATTATATTAATTACACTCACAAATCACTAAATTTCAAAAGTATACGATTTTGTTGAATAATTTTCAGTAGGAAGAAAGTTGAAATCAAAAAAAAATTACTGTTCAGTTTATTTGACATTTCAAGATAGTAGTGTTAAAATGTTATATGAAATATGTTCAATCAGTGATTACTTGTTCCTGTACGACTTTCGTTCGAATCATTACGTCTTGATGATTTTGAAGGTTGTCGATTGATGTTATGCGTTTGAATTGGAATATTTCGTGTTGGAGTTAGTGGTGCAACATTCTTCTTTCGAGCACTTATCTCTAGAATACCATTATCTGAAAATTTCTTCATATTAATTATTACTCTTTAAATAATTATTTTACTTTCTTAATCCAATCATTATTTATTAATGTGATAGCTATCAGTTATAATGAAATAAATACATAGAAATATATTTATTTTGAACAGGAAAATAATAATTTTTATCAATCATTTTACTATATCAAAATTGATATTTTCTTTTATTTTATAGTACAAAGAAGCACTGCATATTCCACTCCTTAATAATCGCCAGCAACTTGTGCTGAAATTTACAAATTTAAATTTCCAATAAATTCCAAAAAAAAACCCTTCAAATGAGAAGTCAATGTAACATCATCGACATCATCGGGCAATGTGAGTCGACGGACGAAGTGTCGTTCAATGAAGCCATGCTGATCACGTTGCTGCTTTTGATGTCCTTCAATTGAAAGTTCACCGCGACGTACACTGACTTTCAAATCTCCCGGATGAAACTGTGACACATCCATTTCCATAACAAATTTTTCTGTATCGTTGACAACCTGAGAAAAAGAAATACATGAAATTTTCATAATTAATTCATTTTTATTCAACAATAATTCAATATAAATCACCAATAAGAAGCAAAAAAGAGGCTGTGTTAAAATTTTTCCGCATCACTGATAGTCTGTAATAGTTAACACTTTTCTATTTTGAGAGTTAAATAGAAAACTGAAAAACGAAATCATTCTTAAAATAGAGAACATAAAATTCTCATATATCACCCACATTCCCTTCTAACTTCCGTTTAAAAGTGCAAACCTGTCCAACTGAACTACCAAAATTATATTGAAATGGTATCACATCCGTTGATGGACCACTCCAGCCCATTCCCAATTGCCGGTATTGTTGCTCTAAGCCGTGGAATAAACTTTCAAACATTCGTCTGACTGTTTCGTTGAATGACATAAAATCCACATCGTTGAAGTATGAGCGACGACCCGTTGGATGAGCATCACGATGCTGTTCCGATGGATTACTCATCAGTTTCTGATAATTATTCAACTTTCAACTCATTTAATGGAGCTAAATGATTTTAAAAATTGATTGCAGTTCTCAGGAAATTGTCATAACAATTTAAAAGAAATAATTTCATGAATTTTAGAAAGATTTTTTCATTGATAGCTTATCAATATTTTAGAGATCCATCTTTATTTTCTTTTTTATTAGTTATCAACTAACTTCCATATATAATTAATTAATTTCATTCTCTTTTTTTAAAAAAAAATAGCTTCTGATGGAATTAATTTTTTCAAAAAATTTCATAAAGCCAAAATTATTTAAAGTAATTAATTTACTTCTAAGCCAAATATTGAAGCAACCACTCAAACCTAAAATAATATTAATAAAATGAATTCTACGACAGTATACCTGTTTTTATTTTCTTATTCGACAGGAAGCAAATATATTACATTTAGTTCTTCTCTGACTCTTACCTAAGAAATATTGCTCCTCCATCTCTCCCCCATTACAGTATTATTCGATTTTCTGATTCATACCTAAGAGGTATTGTTCTTCCATTACAGTATCATTCAATTTCTACGACTTATTTCTCTTTTTCCTTTTCATCAAACTTTTTCTTAATATTATCATATTTATGGTCTTAAATAAATTGTCAGTCTTCTCCAAACTTTTTTTATTAAAAATTTATAGTATGAAAAAAGCGCAAAATGAAAATGTCTTAGTGCAATTGTTAACACATGTCCTTGCAATTATATATCAGATACGGTATTGGATTATAATAAAAGCTTAATTGTATAGATTGCATATAAACCGATCATTCTTTTCACCAAAAACAATCTCATTGATTATTGCATTTTTTAATTTTCAAAAAATTAAAAATTTGATGAAAACTAATTTGAAATTTCAGAAGTATGAAAAATTTTATAAAACTCTAACTTAATATCATAGGAAGATAATTGAGGAAGCAGTCGATAAGAATTGCAAGAATCAATGCTCATAACCAATAAAACTTTTAGATATAAATTTATTATGGTAGAAATATCCTCCAAGATCGAAATCATTCTAACCTATCGAATGTTATTATTTCAGTTATTAACTATAATTATCAAAATATGATAATAATTTGAAATGAGATAATTAAGTTCCAATAAATTGATTGGTTGTAATAAAAGATTAATATCATTAATATCATTTTACAGGATTTTTAGTAACAGCTGGCGGTATACACTTTTTCTCAGAAGTGAAGCTGATAGCAGAATTACATGATAGTCATATTTACTTCAGTAAATATCATAAATGATAAATTGTGCGAAGTTTAGGAATTTACATTATTTGCATATTCTCGCTATACAAAGGACTGTTAATTTATCAATTATAATTATTTTCTTCTATTTTTATTTTCATTTATTTGCATATTTCACTATTGGCAGCCATAGAGCTTTTTGCATATCTTTTTTGTTTATTATATTTATTGCACACACTTAAATTTTTATCGCATCATTTTTGTTAATTTTAATAAATTTATACGTCTTTTCAAATTTTTCTTTTAATTTATACCTTTTTTGCTAATATATTGTCTAATTAAATTTTAGGAAAAATCGATAGATTTTGTATTCTATAATTAATTACTTATTTAATTCGCTAATTGGAAAATGTTTGTATGTAATTTGTATTGAACAGTTTTCTGAATAGTGTGAGTTAGGAAAAATAAATAAAGAAAGAAAAATTGCACAATCGTAAGATAAAAGTATTTTATTCATGCCATTAAACTTTATCACTTCTCTGAATGAAAGGATAAAATTAATCTAAGTTAAAAAAATTTATTCATATATGCAAACTTTTAATGTCTTGTAATGAAAATCTTCCTTTCGCTATCATTTACTTTTTGACAAAATTATTATCAATGCATTTAAATGATTTGATAACAACAACAACGATGAAACGCTGTCTATTATTTAACATTGATAAAAACAAAAACAAAAACAAAACAATCTTTAAAGAATGTAATAGGAATAGTAAGGAAATATGTATACATGTAGAATATAACCAATTTTTGGGAATTTCTCATACAACCATTCACAAATTTGATGAAAAAAAGCAATCGTTTGTTGTATTTTTGTGATATTATTTCCTTCTGTTTTCAAACGCCTAAAAACTCAAAAAAAATTAATTTATATTTAATTAACGAATTAACACAGCTTATCTTATAATAATAAGAGAATAATATCTTATATGAAAATCAATGGTATGCTATTGAATTTATGATCGATAAATAATGATCTTTTATGATTTTGGAGAGTAATATTTCTTCTTAGCGTTCTTTCAACTTTATCATTGCTGCATTCCTCTTTTATCTTGCAATACAACGAATGATACTTTGTAACTTTACTAAATATAAGAAAAAAAGACTGGCCATTCAGGAATAGCTTTTTCCGGCATTATTGCCTTCCGAATAAAGCATTTAGCTCGATAATGTTTTTTGATTTGGGTGATATTTACAAATTCAGCACCAAGCTTTTTCATATTTTCAAATTTTTTATTTGAACTTAAGCTACTATCGAATTGTAGCAATGCTGGAATAGAAGTTTTTTCACTCCAATACCATCGCCAATTACTGATCAAACTAGAAAATTAGAAGAAATTTACGAAAATCTTTTTTAAATTAATATTTTTATATCAAAAATTTCCAAATAAAATATATCTAACAATGAATAAATGAATATATTAAATTATGAAAGAGATTGGGATCAAATATATTGAAATAAAAATACATTCCTAAACTTATAGTGGATCAGTTCAAGTAGAAGATGATTCTTTTGCTTACTGCTTACTTAAAACGCTGAAATTCACCTGTAAGGTATGAATGCGCACTTATTGCCGCAATATTGTGTGATACATAATGCTCCCATGATATTATTATCCGTAGCATAGTAATACTCCAACTGCCTTGAAAGCTCTTTGAAAAAGCATTCTGACCTCAAGTGATACTATCATTTCTTTGCAATCTTTTAAATTGTTGTAGAAATTCGAAATTTTAATATGTTTAGGATTTTAATTTATTCCTTCAAACATTTCAAATAATCATTTTAAGCGATCTTATCACTGACGCATTAGTGACAGTGAATGAACTGAATGTTGATAGACTGATTCTGAAAAATTAATTAAAATCTGAACAGAAAAGAAAAAAATTAATATCTAACTTAGGACTTGATTTGACAAAAAAATATCCACCAGCGATCATTTCAATCAACAAACCTTTATCACCTTCTTGATCGAAAAGTAGATTACCATTTAAGTTCATCATCTGACTAGTGTCTGTTCCGGAGAAAAAAAAAATCATTAACTTAATTTCTCTTACTGCATTATACAGTTATTTACCTAGCAGTTAAGCTAATATGCTATGAAATTCGAATTTACGCAAATCATAAATGACATTTGACCCCTATCCGAGAGCCTATTTTTCCAAATCTTTAGAGCTTGGATAAACAAAATAACAAAAATATGTTTTTTGAATATGCTTTTATTACATATAATAAATATTTCCAATGTTGCATATGCAAATAAATTTGCAACTTAATTTTTGATGATTAGATTCTTACGTACTCGCAATTTCGAACAGATTTTTGCGCCAATAAGTATCCGGTTGGATCATCCAAAAATCACGGCCTATACTAGCTAAATATGTACATAATTTTGCACGAAAATATTGCAACATTTGATAACGACTATCACCCATTTGAAATTGTTTGTGCTAAAAAACAGAAGAAATTGTGAGATGAATAATTAATATAAGTAGGGAACGGAATGACCAGACCGGATAATGTCTCATACGGAAAATCATTGTTAGAACTAGCTTTTTTTTTTCATTGTTAGAACTAGGCTCTTTTTTTTCTCATTGCTCTTCGACCTTAACCATCGACCTTTCATGCAATTAAATCTGACACTCCCTAAAACATCACTCAAAGTTGCTGTAAAAATTACAGCCAAACAGAAATGTAAAACAATGGATATTAAATGTTAGTATTTAAAATTTACCATTTCAGGTAATGGCCAAAAGATAACTTTAATTTCTGGCCATGAGATCCGAATTGTATTGTAGGTTGTACGATCAAATGCAAATATTAAAAGTCTTCGATGAACATTTGAGAAATTGATCACATTGCATAACCAATTCAAAGTTAAATTTAGCGCATGCTGAAACAATTAATAAATAATTAGGCAAATTTGTTATCATTTCTAATTTGCGAACTATTTGCAACAATAAATACTCACCATATTAAGCATCAGAACTGCCGGAATATCGTCAATTTCCGACAAAAGCTGAAATGAAAAGAAGAAAATACGAAGATATATTGAGTAAACATTCTAAATATTAATTAAACAATTACTCAATTAATAATTTCATAATTTTCGGTGCTATCAATTATCTCTTCTACATTTGATTCTCATCGTCTCACTTTTATTACAGCGAAAGAAAAAACTTCAGTAGATTATTAACAAATTAACATATATCTCTCTCATTTCTTAATTTTTTCAAATTTTTTTTTCATAATCGATTATTTATGAAATGATTAAGATTTCTCTCATATCTCAATATATATCATTAAACATTATCATTGTAATGCACTAAATTACAAAACCTGCAAACGATTATTAGAAATGAGATGAACAGAAGGAAAAACATTACGAGTTGTAAAATGTGATTATTACGGAAAGTATCAGTGCGGAATGCTTTCTTATGGTTGTATATGCCAAATAATCCATTGTAACTTAATAAAAATTTATCATAGAAAAGAGATAAAATGAAGTAATAAAACAGCAAATAATGCAATCTGAACTTCAGCAATTTCATAATTACAATCATTTTTCTTCCCTGTATTTAATATCAAATTTTAGCAAAAATTCTGCAATATTAGTAGCATAACGATCAATTTTAAATTTATGATAACATTCAATTTTGACAAAAGTTATATAATATCAAAGAATATCTAAATATTACTTTAAAGTTATATAAATTCGTAAGGGAAAAAACTTTCAAATTTTTCAGCTATATAAATTTAGGAAAAAAATTTTTTCAAAGATTGCATTGAAAAAATCATTAAAATGAATGTGATAGTACTGATTAACATTCACTTGTTTTTATTCCGTGTAATGATAAGAAGGATGGCGGTTACCTCCAATGTAAGAAAAATGTTTTGAACTTCCATTCCAATAATTTTGCACTTCTCCCCTTTCATAATTTCACACTCAAATTATTAATTTAAGAAGAAGGAAATGATAATTTTACTAATAGCAATTCTCGAAATGATTGATCCAACGATTCAACAGGGAATTTATCGATGTCGTTGTAAACTACATGTTGGAAATCGAAGACAAATTATTAATGCAAAATTCGAGTTGATTTTATAAAATGTTGATGTTATCAGAAACCGAAAGTGGCACTGTAAGTCACTGACATCATTATATAATGGAGTTGCAAACCAAGTTATGATTTACCTTCTTATCGATGCCATTGGAGCTGGGAAGTCGGAAAGTTCAAAATCTGTTTCGGCGATAATTTTCTTCAAATTGCTAAGATAAAATTGAGGTTCTGAAATTTAGTCTTAAAAGAAATAGAACTGAAAGCTGCTGGAAGAGAATAAATAATGTTGAGATTAGATGTAGAAAAAAGGACATTCTGGACAATTTAGTGTGATTAATGATTCTCTTCAAAGATTACACATGGAATGGTCAGGTACTATTCATTGTTGTGGTAAGGTTTTATCAGCAAAACATGGAAATATCACCAAAAATCACAGAGCTCTGATAATAATTCAAATAAAGAATGTTCCTTTTATTTTTGAAGTGAATAATTTATGAAAAATAGAAAATCCTGAGTAAAAAATATAGGATTAGTGTAGTAGCAAAAGAAAATGTTAATGTTTTAATAGATTTGAAGAAATGATTTCATCAGATATTAATTTCTTAAAATATTACGGATAAGATGCACGAGAAGTTTATGGTGAATATGAAAAACGCTACAGTAACTTTTGAAAAAGAAATGATTTTTCCAATAAGATAAAACAAGCAAATATCAAAAGACAAAATAAGTAAATAAATAAAGTTGTTACAAGAAAACATTTCTACCGGTGAAAAATTAAATCTTTAATTTAGGATGATATATAGAAATATAAAATGAATTGATATAATAGCGTCCAGATCATACTACAGTTTATCACCAAATGCATTATTGATAACATCTAAAACAATATTACGCTATTAATCTTGTCAAAAAACAGAAGACAGAGACAAAGTACTGAAGTTAACAAAGTAGTACAACAATTTTAAATTTTGTTAAATTTAATAAACGCAAAGAAACCGAGGCATTTAAGATATATTTAAGATATACTTCGGAGTATTCATTGATAATGATATTTGACATTACAAACCCAGATAATTAGAACTATCATCTTCAACACAATCAATTTATTTCTGGGACATTCGTTCATTTTTTTTCTTATCTTATTTCATCTTCCCTAAACATCAAACCACCAAAAGGAGAAGCAATCAGTTTATTATCTCATATAGTTTATTATCGCATATAATGCACACTTTATTTGATCACTATTCCAAATAATGTATGAAATATTTTCCACTAACTAAATTATCTTTTAAGTTAACTCTTTTAAGCAGTATATATTTACGATCTTATATATAATGGATGTTACCAAACAAATAATCTTATTTGACTAACAATTAACCGACTTTTATTAGCATATATAGGATAGTTCTTTTATCTATTAGCAATTTATGGTTTTTTTTTTCAACTTGATTAGTATCAATAAATTCAACTTAGATCGGATGCGTATATGAGAAAAATCCTGCAAACAAAAATCGATAAAATGAATGAATAAGCATATTAGAGGTAATGTAATCGAGTAAATATCCAGTAAATATCACACGGAACGCCGGCAACATTTATGTTTCATGAATTTGTAGCACAGTATCAGGGTAAACACTATAGCAATCAGGGCAAAATAAAACCCATAAACGATGAACTAAAATGTATGTTTATATATCTCTGGCAACTATTCCGTTTAATTACAAGGATTAGTAAAAGCTCATTTATATACACTGAATTAATTTATTCCATTTCATTACATGTCTATTAAATCTATCTAAATGGTTTCCATTTTTTAAATACCTTATTCCTCTGACTCACAGCTAAAGAATATCCTATTTCTTGAATATATCACTTGATATTAGGAAAATAGAAAAAAAGGTATTTCAACCAAATGATAGTGAATGATCTGCTAATTAAAAATATAAATGAAAAAACCTGAGTTCGGATTGATAAAGAGAATCCGTGTTTGTCCGCCACTGCAAACGTAAGGATGGTTTGTAAAAACAACGCTAGAAAGGTATCCCAACCAAATATCAGTCCATAGCTTGCAGAATCTAATTGTGTTGCTATGTTCACACTAAATTGAAAACTGTGATTTGAATATATTTACAAAATTACATCGAATATAAATTTGACTTTAAATATATTCTTTCTTACACCAAATTAATCGAATAGTTACTTTAAAATAGCTGTTTATACAAATAGGAGTAATAATTATTGCAAAGTGAAATTACAAATTGTGGTGTTAAAACATTTTGAGCGAGAAAAAACTCTTTCAGAACAAAGTAACCCGGAACAAATCAAACAAATTATTCGGTATATCAAATTGCTTCAAATATCGGTAATGTACCTAGCGAATAAAATCAAATTGAATATTTGAATACGGTTTCTTCATAATAATAATAGATAAAACTGACCTTGCAGCCGTTATTAGAAGGTGATAAATAGTTATCACAGCAACATAAAGCACATAAGTAATATAAATAATTTTGGTTTGAGCCATGATAACAAGAAAGACAGCGATAAACGCTGACGTCACTAGCAGTACGTGTTCACCCCGTTTTGACCAATTCACATTCATATACTGTACCAAAAAGCTGATAAATGCTCCTGTGAACAAAATCAGTGATAAAAAAAAGCTTAAAAACAAACTTATCAACCTATTAGAAAATTAAATCTTCCATGTCATTTATTCTCACATCAACTATCAAGCGCTCCAATTTGCTTAATGCAAGTGTAGTCAAAAGACGTGATAATTGAACTAATAGAGATCAAAAAACGTGATAATTGAACTAATGAAGGAGAAAGGGGCCTAATGCAAGCCTGTAAATATACCGATTAAGGTATTGGCACATTCGGTGATACCATTGTATGCATCAGAATATGTTTGCATTACAGCCCATAATGTTTGTACATAGTTCATAACCTTAAATAAAAGCTTCAGCAGAATTAAATATACTCAAAGAAGTTCCAAATGAAACAAATGATTTTTAAACAAAATTATGAAGCTTTCTGGGTCATTTTTTAATCACTGATTACAATAAAATAAATATTAAAAAAATGTGACCTGAAAAATACCGCAGCTAGTTAGCGCCCACCAAATGCTCCATTTCAAAACAATCTTATTGCGTTTGAAAATTTTGAAATGATGCCAAATCGTTCGAAAATAAATAATAGCTCCATGGTCAATATTTGCTGCGTTAGCATTCAGAGCCTCTCTGGAACAATTCAGATCAAGGCGACGTAAAAAAATGCATTAGAAGAAAGTGTCTTAATGAGCAGGAGAAGGTGAAAAAAAAAAACAATGTTCGAAATATTATTGGAACTAGCTAAAAGTTATTGGAGAAAAAAATGATAAAGTCAGAGATAAGTTGAAGTGAAGTAGTGAAATAAGATAAACTATAATGCATGAAATGAATAGGGTACATATCACTTTTCTTACGCATACTTTTCCTTAAAACTTCTTTCATTATTTTGCAATCCGTTTTCATAATCTGTTGAGCCATGGGAACGTTTAGGCGTATCTTCATCAATTTCAACGATTTTATTAACACTTAACTTGGGTGGTATCGATGGAAGAATGATAGCAATTCCAAGAACTATACAAACTGAACCGAATGATATCTATAAAAATAATTATACAGTTGATCAAAACACACATTATCCTGAAAATATAAAAGTAAATAAATGCAGCGGTCAACCAAAAAGTACACATTACTTTTCATCTCTTGTTGGATTTGCAACTTTTCTCTTTATCTTCAAATATTTCAAGAAAAAAGGAGCAATCCAAATTTTCGAATTAAATTTAGTATTTTACAAAAGAGAAGTTCACATTCTAACTTACTGAGGTTAATATTTCTAATGCACTCAAAACAATGGGAAAAGCACCAAGTAAAAAAGTTGGAAGGTAGTTTAGTGGCAATATGCTAAAGAGTAAATTAAAAAGTTTTTTTGTGATAAAAAAAGTTGGCAATATTAAAGTAATAACAAAGTTAAATTTAACCTAATATTAAAGTAATTTTAATTAAAAGCATTTTGTGAAAAATTATAAAGTTTCGCATTTTAAATGATGGGAAAGACACTTCACTATTGAAAGGAGTAGTAATCTATCTATAAGAGAAAAATTAAAGAGTAAATTAAAAGGAATATTTACCTGATTTAAAAGGAAGTATGATCCATACTGAAACGATATAAGGAACTGAGCAAGACCAAAGGCAAAAAATTTTCCAACCAAAGCAGCAGCACGTATATAAGATGTGATGAGTTTATAATGTTTTTGGTTAACCACCGCATACAAATACGAGTAATAAGCTATTTCGGCAGCCGATGATAATCCTGTAATAACATAATGCATTTTGATTTTCGATGACTGGTAAAAATGTTTTCAGTACAAGGTAGGTTTAACCATTCCAATTAGCTCTTTGCTTTTAGCATGCGCATTCCATGATTTGATTTGTACATAGATGTACGATCATTGAAATCCTGATTTAGACGAATTTTTTAGCTTAAAAATATTTATCTACTAGTGTAGATAGGAAATTGTCTATAACTAACCGTTTATATAATTTGCAATGTTTTTAGTGATTTATGCGGTAAAGAGTCAGTCAAAAGAAAAGGATATAGTCATTATGGATTCATTTTTTTAGACCGACTATTATGGAAGGGTCATCATCATCCATATGTCTAGCAGTAGTAGCTGCATCTATCGACCAGCAATTGAGTGAACACAATCAATAACAGAACTAAGAATTATATCTGAAAAAGCAGCCATGGATCAACTGAGACGATCGTAATGGCGATCCAATAATTCTACGAATGCAGTAGCTGTTACACTTCTCTCTTTTAATATTGTTAGAATTCCTTTTTTCTTGAACATCGTTGAAGTTTTCGCTTATTGGATGAATTGATTTTTCGCAGCAGTATTATGGATGATGCTGAGCTAATCAGTTAAAGTTATGGTGGTAATCAAATAAGAAAGGCGAAATTGTTAAGGAGGAAACAAATTAATAAATTTCCCTTAATGTATATCATTAATTAAGCCATCCCAACTCAAAACTTCCCGACAAATGTATTGAGAGGAACGAATTGTTAATTTATTGAATAAATATTATGAGTGAAAAAAACATGGGGTAAGGTATTTGCAACAAATATAAAATAATATACCAAAAATTATTTGCATAATCTGCATATGCCATACAGTTTTACCCCATAGCAGCAGCGCCCAGGTGCCACATAAACTAAGTGCTTCCAATACGATAATCGGCTTATAACGTAAAATATCAGTCAAGAAAAATATTGGCACCTGCAAGATAATAAATTTAAATCAACTTTATACGTTTCATTTTTTCAGATGTTAAATCAGATGTTAAAGCAAAAAAAATAAAAGTTTAAATTTAGAATCAAATAGTTTGAATCAATTCAGATTTGAAAAGAATGGAAATTGATGGAAAGAAATGAAAAACGTACTAAAAACAACAAATATGAGTATGTCCAAAATGGATAAATTTCACTATACAATTCGACATCAGTGAAGTTCTTAAAGGATGAGACGAGGTACGGAGTGAGGAAAGGCGTAGCTGGTCGGAATTCCTTCACTATTCCGTATGCACAAATAAGGATTGTTGTAACTTTCCAGTGCATATCATTTATTAATCACTCGTAATGAATCTGAAAATTGAAATATTAAATAGATGAATTCAGAAACGATTTGCGATCACTCATCGTAATTTAACCCTAATAATACAAAAAAAAATCGAACTGCTTATATGCGAGAAACTAGAAGTATCTTTAGCCGGATAGTGATAGGTTCCAGGGAGAGAAAGAAGATTCCTTCAGGAAGATTCATCTTCTTTCACTTTTTACAATAGACATATGTGATATTTTAATTTCGTTTTATTACTATGAACAAGAGTATAAGATATAAAGCAGCTTCGAATAAGATAACGAGAGATGAAGCTAACTTCAAATGAGCTCAGAAGAAATAAAGTTAACTTAATTTAAAGTCTATTGATATTTTGAATGTGCTCGAATTCAAAATCATTATATGTTATCAGAAGACGAGCAAAAAATTTTTCTGCTGAGAGAATGAGAGTTAGTGAAGTAATCGAGATTGAAAGTGACGATATGTATGTGAGGAAACGACAGAGATCAATGAGAATGTCGCGAGAATGGATAAAATTTGAAAAAGACTATTACGGCACAGCGAAGCAGAATTGAAACAGTATCATTGATAGATTGTTTACCTTCCGGTAACATGGAGATGATGACAACTTGGTCTGACTTCGATGAATGGTGTTTTACAGAAATGATTTGTACTAACAAACTTCGATGGAAAATAAAATGTGTAGAGCAGGATTTCCTACTTACTCTTATATTTTTCATTGATTTTTGATCTTTTTTGATGAATTGGTCGAAATATTGACATGCAAAATACTTTGAAAGTAAATGTATTCGTATGAAAGTATCCCATGAAAATATTTTTGTTAAGTAAGAAAAATTCAACTGAAGCGTTTATATGAAAATACTGAAGGAAAAATTACTGAAAGAAAAAGTAATTTTTCCTTCAATATCTTCCACAAAACGCTTCGGTTAAATTTTTCTTACTTAGTATTCTTGATTGAAAGTTTTCAATTAAGCAACAGTAAAAGCACGTAAGATTGATAGAAGAGATATTGTGCTCTGAAAAAGATTCAATGTAAAAAAAATATAATACATGTAGGTGATTGAAATATGCATATCAGCAAATGATTCAATATATATGTTAGTTACTGTATCTACTATATCGGTTTTTACTATCGATATTCTCCCGCATACAATGTTTGGGCACTTAAATTTGTCTACGTTAACTACGGATCAATAAATAGTTCGGTCAATTTACAATTTATGACAGATGATCTAATTAGCGACATGCGCTTAATGTCGCAAGTTCTACTATTCTATACAAGCGTACTCACAAAAGTTTTCAACGTTAACAATAAAATTCACTTACAGGTGAGAGATGATTGAAAAATGTATAGAAAAATCTAGCAAAATATAAAAATTGTATAAAAAAATTAAAAAAAATATAACCAATGAATCTTTATACATACCGTAATAGCAATAGTGATTAAAATCTTACAATAATTATTCAGCTTGATTCCAATAACGTGGTTCTTATATTATTAATATATTGTGTTGTTTTACTTTTACATATTTCATTTAATTGATGTGTTCATGACTAAATTGACTATAAGTTACACTCAGATTGCTTAACATTCTTCTAAAATATCCAGTATGTCATTTTCCGCTTTATACAAAATTAACCTATGTTCAGTATGTCTTTCTATATTACAATATCTCGTAACGTGACTCTGAAGGAATTCCTACATTTCATCAGGTAATACAAAAATTGATCCCTTGGTTTTCACAATGGTTCGATGGTCGCAGTTCTTCGCGGCGAAACAACCTAACATGTTTCCGTCGGAGAAAGAAGATTATATGAATTTGGATATCAGATGCAGGAAGTAAAGTAGTTTCTTTCTCCTCTTTCTCTCGATCTCTCCTCCTCCTTTCTTTGTTTTTGTTCTCTTTCCCTCTCTCTTCTTTCATTCTTTTTCTTAAGCTGTTTCACTTAGTGTTTTGTAAAAATCCCCACCAGTAAAAGCAAGATTAAAGAAGGATGAGGTATATACATTTCTATGAGGGATATTCTGGTTATCTCGGTTCTTAAATATCCCAGGAAATTGAGATTGGTTTATCTCTCTTTTTCATTGCTTTGATGGTTTCGTGTTAAGTATGTTGTAGACGTGCGAGGATGTGGCGTATGTATATGATAATGAAATAGCTATTGCATGCGTTAATTACAGGGACGGGCATTACAATGGAACGGTTTCTACGACTCGGTGGTCTTGGTGGTCTCAGTGGCTCTCAGGTTAAATACTGTTGAATTAGTCGTAGAGGGTGAATTTAAATGGACTTGATAATTTGATTTCTTGAAAGCATTTTAAATTTACTGTGATAAAGACTCAAGTGATAAAGGTAGCAGAGGAAAGGAAAGGTGGAGGAGAAATTGATCATTTTCGTAATGTTGAAGAAAAATGGATATATTGTTTAGCAAAAGAAAGTTCTTGTGTCTTCTTAGGTTATGATCCGTCATACTTAATTATATCATACTTAATACTCATAATTATATGGTTTTCAGTTTGGAAATGCCAGTCCAGTAGATAGCAGTCAAGTAGACACATCTGAAACAGTCTACATATCGTCATTGGCTTTACTCAAAATGTTGAAACATGGTCGTGCAGGTGTACCTATGGAGGTACATCTAATCCTTGTACATTTCTCCATTTACTACAGTAAGAGGATGGTAGAAGGAAACGAATATTAATGATAATAGAAATTTTCAGGTTATGGGTTTAATGCTGGGGGAATTTGTGGATGAATATACGGTGAACGTTATCGATGTATTTGCGATGCCTCAATCTGGCACAGTAATTATTTCAAACTTATTTCAAACTGTCAGGTTTCACTGTATTTATAATGATGAGATTTCTTCCATGTGTTAGAATTAATCTAAAGCCTTATATTTCTTTATTGGGCTGGTTTTTTTTGTTTGGTTTTTACTTCGCATTAACACACAAATGCTATCAGTAATTACAGGGAGTGTCAGTAGAAGCAGTAGATCCAGTTTTTCAAGCCAAAATGCTAGACATGCTGAAGCAAGCGGGACGACCTGAAATGGTTGTTGGCTGGTACCATTCACATCCAGGATTCGGCTGTTGGTTATCAGGTGTCGATATTAATACGCAACAGAGCTTTGAAGCTCTTTCAGACAGAGCGGTTGCTGTGGTGGTCGATCCAATTCAGTCTGTTAAAGGAAAGGTTTGTTCAGTTGGTTCATTTTAACACTTGTATCCATGTCCTTCGAGAATTATTTTCGGATTCGAGAATTATCCTGCTTTGGATTAATGAATTCAGGTAGTAATTGATGCATTTCGAACGATTAACCCGCAATCTATAGCACTTAATCAAGAACCGCGTCAAACCACTTCAAATCTTGGGCATTTACAAAAACCATCTATTCAAGCATTAATTCATGGTCTCAATCGGCACTATTATTCAATTCCAATCAATTATCGCACTCACGAGCTTGAACAGAAGGTATATTATTTACCATTTAATGGAGTTCAGTGTTGCCAATCGTAAATGTCTTATTTGCATTTCATGTCTTAAAGCTGACAATTATGGCATCAAGCAAAATCTCTCAGTAATCTTGGTTCCTTTTAGATGTTGTTGAATCTAAATAAACAAACCTGGATGGATTCTCTTGGTCTGGAACACTTCTCTGTTCACTGTGATAGAAACCAAGCATCCATGCAAAAAATGTTGAAATTGGCAAAGCTTTACAAAAAAGTTTGTTTCTTTCATTGCATGGTTATCATGTCACAATTTTTCTTCACTTATTTAATACAGCGTACAAAATTGTATCTTCTCACTTCAGGATCTCGAAGAGCAGGAAAAAATGACGGAAGAGCAGCTTGCTGTAAAAAATGTGGGGAAACAAGATCCAAAGCGGCATTTAGGTGAAACGGTGAATGAAATGCTTGCAGATAATATTGTCCAGAGCCTTGCTTCTATGCTCGATACATCGTCTTTCCAATAATGCTGTTGCTAGTCTTTGGAGAAGTGCCAAAAAGGATGGACCACTGTGAGCAGAATGGAAACTAATTTTTACTTTGCATGACATCTTTTTCTAGAATTTTAAAAAATTGAAGGTGGATTCAAAAATACCAGTCATGCTTCGCCGCGGTTATCTCTCTTCTTCGAACCATTTCGACTTTTGAAGCTCCGCCGTATTCACTAAACGTTTAGAATAGTACTAGAATAGATTTTCCGATTTTTTTTCCGAAAATTGGGGAATTTTATTGTTGAATTTCACTTAAAATTTTCTGATTTTGTTTCTGTATTCGCTGACTTCAAGCACTAGGTAAATTATAGAAGTGGAACCATGAAGCTTAGGATGACTAAATAGTCTTAAAAATTAAAGGAGCCTGAGGGTTTTCTGGAACGGTACTAAAGCTGTGGAACTTAGTAAGATATGGAAACGATTTACGCCTATTTACTGATAAAGTCGTGTGAGTCATGGCCTTCCTTCTATTCTTCTTCTGTTTGCGCAACGTTTTGTTTGTCTTTAAATTGTTTCCATTTTACGAATTTTTTTTGGGTCAATAAACATATTTTTTTCTCGTTACTTAAACAAGAAAGCACACTCGCACTTGTCGTCAATTAGGAGTAAATGTCAAAATCATACTGAAATCCGATGGAAGATTTCTATATTTCTCGAAGTTTCAAGAATAATCTGATTGACTATAGTCTCAAATCCCTACATATCGGTTGTTTCCAAAAGAAGCTTTAATGTCTCTGTAAAATCATCTTATTGGCTTGCGCTGATATCTTGCAGTTTTCGTCACTCTTTTGCATCTTACCTTACATTCTTATCTTTCGTGAATTTTCTTTTTGAGTCGTAAATTATTCTCCCGCATGTTTCGTAACAGCTCTTAGTTTCACCATTACTTTTTCACCTTATACCATTAGCGAGCGATGTTGTTAAGGTAGTTCCCAGTACTACTAAAAGTGGTTTGTATGTCCTATTAAAATCGTTTTTGTCCATCAGTGCTAAAACAGAAATGATATTTTAATGTATTTTAAGATTTGATTTCAATAAAACTATTTTAAAATGTTCCATCTCGCAGGTTCGGTTTTTTTCTGTATTAGATAATGGAACTGGAATAAATTAATCTGCGAATTGAATGGAGACGGGAAAAGGAATCTGGCGAATAGTCAGTTGGCTACCAGTGGCAGGAAGGTTCACTCGCGTTTCATTTTTGGGTAATGGACTGAAATACGACCCGGTAATGCTGTTATCTAATTTTACTGGCTTGATTATTCTAATGATTCCAGGTTGGTGTGCTTTTTTATCGTTTAATGATGACTAACAACACCAATCATTTCAGTTAGCAATCGACAATCTTTTCTTTCATTTAGAGCCGTGTAAAAGGTACTGATTCAATTTGAAATAGTCAAATTTATGTGGTATACAATCTGATATTTTTCAGTGAAAGTATTTGATGTATAATTGGTGTTCACTGGATTAGATGTACTTGTATCTTTTCTATGAAGTATTTTAACCTAATATTTCTTGAAATATTACGTATCATGATTTCATTATATTGAACTATACTCATTTAGAGTATGTAAAAATATTTTACATTTCTGGTTGCAGAAATAGCTTTGAATAGCGTGCTGTCTTATTCGCATATCATTATGTAGGTAATCCTGGAAATGAACAGTTCTATGACCATTTTGGGCAGTTGGTTTTGAGCAAGATTTTAAGAATATCAGAAGGAAATTCTTTATTCTGCACGATATCTCATCTGAATCATGTCCCGATGCCTCGAGAGTACTCGGAAATGAGCAGTTCTAACTGCAGCGGTACTGTCATTATTTTTAAGATAAGTCAACTGTAATTTGAACATTTAAGATAGGTTTCAGTAGTACGATGGCTATTGAATAGAGTAGTCATTAAGCATTGGTCTGTATGAAAGTCATTCATTGTAGTTGTTAAATTTGCAATTGCTAGAAAAGTTTTAGAACTCAAATTTTATTACTAAACCTTTATTTAAATAAGAGATAACTTCATCAGTGGTGTTTCTTCTCCTTGTTCAATTTGTTTTCATTCCTTTTTAGATCGTATTTCATTGTCTGATCAGATTAAACATAAATTCAATTTTTGCCTTCAGTATTTAGCTAAAAGAACAAAACTCATTCTCATTGGGCATTCTATTGGTTCTTACCTCATGTTAAGGTTGACATTTTATTTATTTTTTGTCAATTGCACTTATTTTCGGCCATATTCATAACACATTTCTTGAGATTTCATAGGCTTCATTGTTGTAATGCGTGAAATGTAACAATATGCTCTAATTTTTCCACATATTATGCTAGATCCTATCAAATGATGACGTAATCGATCAAATATATCTTTCTCTACATCGACAAGGAGTTAATATTTTCACCGTGAAAGTGGAAATCTGTCAATTTTAGGATATTACCTGATTTGCTGAAGCATGAATTCAATGTTATTCGTTGTATAGCTTTGTTTCCCACTATTGAACGTATGGCAGAATCACCAAATGGTGAACGTCTTTTACCATGGCTAAAGGTTGGTTTTTAAGAAATTAATACTGGAGCGTATTATCGAAAATCTAGGAATAATTTTATTAATTTATAAAAAATTTTATTTTTTCATTTTTCGGTTCTTTTTTGAGCTGAAATTATTCATAGTGATAGTTATAGATATCAGTCAAAATATTGAAGGAGAATGCGATAGTTTCAATATTTTATAGAAGTTCCGTAAGTGGGATGGTGTTTTACAAATAGCGTTATCGTGGCTGCGATATTTGCCTAATTCTGTGAAAGGGCGCATCTGTACCTTTCTTATGACAAATCATGGTGACTGCTTTCCACCTTGCATACTACAAAGTGCCATTGAAATTATCGATGTGGACGTCATTCGAAATATTATTTTCATGGCAGTGGACGAATTACTTACGGTTTGAGCACAAGAATTGTATTTTTTAACCCTGAAAGTTTAAATTCGTGTTTAGTTTTAATTTAAACCGAAAAAGTGGTGTAGTTATATTGATTTCAGGTTTCGAACTTAGATGAATCTCTTCTGCGCTACAGTGATCGGTGCCGTTTTCTATATGGAACTGTGGATCAGTGGAGTCCGTTGTGTTATAGCCTAGAAATGCAAAAAAGGCTTGGAAAAGGTATCTCTAGAATAATATGAAGTTTCATTATTTGCAAAGAAATGGTTATGTTAGTGTGTAAGATTACCGAAAGTTTTACCAGCAGGTGATTTCATGGGACGTATTTTGTGAAAACTGATTGACGCTCGAATATTTTGAGTTTTGAATGATGACAGATTTTTATGATACAGTTATAATTTTAGATATAGTCACAATTGATAACAAGAAGTGCGAGCATGCTTTTGTCTTAAATCACGGAGAAGTGGTCGCTTATGAAGTGACAAATTGGATTGCTGAATGTTACGGTTAAATTTATACATGAATAATTGTTAGATAGGAACGTGACAATCTGTTATACTGTTATAAAAATTTTAGAGGAAGAATCTTATATGATTCCTTCCAATGCAAATCAAGTTACACTCCATTTCGTTATTTATTTTTTGCTACGTTTGACGATGTTTAGTTGCTGTCAATGAATGCTGTATTTCTTGATATCGGTAAGAAAGGAATGATAGAAGATGAATAAAATTAGTAGAATAGAGACGAACCTAAATCATTATATTAAAAGATGTGGCTAAGGTTTAACAAATCATGAAATGGAGTGGCTGGGAGAAATAATTACCTCTCCGAGACTAAATTAGGCTCATTTTGCAGCACGTCTGAAATAAGAAAATCAGTTCAATTGAATGGAATATCACCATCACAATCAACCCTTTAACATTTCTTTTTGCATGGGATACATCTCTACC